TGCATATAGCTACAGACGTCTTAGAGTTAATACATACGGACATTTGTGGGTCATTTCCTACACCTTCTTGGAATGATCAACAATATTTTATATCATTTATAGACGATTACTCTAGATATGCATACCTATTTTTTATACATGAAAAACCACAATCTCTGGACGTGTTCAAAACATTTAAAGCTGAAGTTGAAAATCAACTTAACAAAAGAATCAAGAGTGTCAAATCTGACCGTGGTGGTGAATACTATAGCGGGAATGACGGTTCAGGTGAACAACATCCATGACCTTTTGTTAAGTACCTAGAGGAATGTAAAGTCGTCCCACAGTACACCATGTCGGGGTTGCCTAACATGAATGGTGTGGCTGAAAGATGAAACTAGACTCTTAAAGATATGATTAGGAGCATGATTTGTTATTCTACCTTGCCATAGTCAATTTGGGAAGAGGCACTAAAGACTGCAACTTACATTCTAAATAGAGTGCCAACTAAGGCAACTGCCAAAACACCTTGTGAGCTTTGGACTGGGCGGAAGCCTAGTCTGAAACATTTTCATGTGTGGGGATGTCCTGCTGAGGCAAGGCCTTATAGGCCAAATGAAAAGAAATTGGACCCCGAACAGTGAGCAACTATTTTATTGGTTATTCCGAAAGATCTGGGAGCTATAAATTTTATGATCCCACATTAAAGATAATTTTTGAGACGGGAACTACCACATTCTTTGAGGATATTGAGTTTGGGGGGAAGAATAAGGTTAAGAACTTTGTCTTAGAGGAAGAATCGGTAACAATTCCAGAACCGATTCAAACAGTTACTTTTAATAAAGTAAATTTGGAACCTCTACATGACAATGTTATTGAACCTCTTACTGAAGATGATTTGGTTGTTCATGAATAACAAACTCAAGATCCTCAAGAATCTGTGCATCATGAGTCAATACCTTTGCGAAGATCCACTAGAGAAAGAATAAGTGTTATTTCGGTTGATTACATGGTATTTTTTCAGGAACATGAGGAAAACAATGGTATGATGAAAGATGACCCAATTAACTTTCGTCAAGCCATGCAAGGTTCTAACTCTGAAAAGTGGATTGAAGCAATGAAGGAGGAGTATAAGTCCATGCAAGACAACAAGGTTTGGGAACTTGTCCCATTACCAGAAGGTGTGAAACCCATTTGTTACAAATGGATAATTAAGACCAAATAAGATTATAAAGGTAACATGGAGAGGTATAAGGCTCATCTTATAGCTAAGGGTTATACCCAAAAGGAATGGATTGACTTTAAAGAGACTTTCTCTCCAATTTCATCGAAATACTCTTTTAGGACAATCATGACTCTTGTTGCACATTATGATTTGGAGCTTCATCAAATGGATGTCAAGACGACGTTTCTCAATGACAACATTGATGCGATAATTTATATAGTGCAACCAGAAAACTTTGTGTCAGGAGACCCAAATAATATGGTTTGCAAACTGACAAAATCCATTTATGGGCTAAAATAGACATCTCGTCAATGGTACCACAAATTTCATCAAATAATTCTCTCATTTGATTTTAAGATGAATCTTGTTGATGATTGTGTGTATCACAAATTCAGTGGGAGCAAGTACATTTTCCTGGTTTTGTATGTTGATGACATACTGCTTGCCACTAATGATATAGGCATGTTACACGAAACCAAGAGATTTCTATCAAAAAACTTTAAAATGAAAGATCTTGGTGACGTCTGCTTTGTATTAGGAATTCAGATACACCGAGATTGATCTCGGGGTATTCTAGGATTGTCACAAAGGAGATATATTGAAAATGTACTTAAAAGGTTTGACATGCAAGAATATAAATCTGGGAATACTCTAGTTGCTAAGGGAGACAAGTTTAGTCTCAAACAGTGCCCAAAAGGGAATTTGGAAATTCAGGAAATGCAAAAGATTTCCTATGCATTAGCTGTAGGGAGTTTAATGTATGACCAAGTATGTACGCGTCCAGACATAACATACATAGTTGGGGTATTAGGTAGATAATTAAGCAATCTAGGAATGGATCATTGGAAAGCAGCCAAAAGGGTTATGAGGTATTTGAGGAGAACAAATGATTATATGCTCATATACAAGAGGTCAGAACAGTTAGAGATTGCTGGGTAATCTGACTCAGATTTTACATGATGCAAAGATAGTTTGAGATCCACTTCAGATTACATTTTCATGTTGGATGGTGGTGCGGTTTCTTGGCGCAGTGTAAAACAAATCCTTACTACTTCATCCACTATGGCAGCAGTGGAAGGAATCGAAAGAACACTTAAGTTATAAGTTTTGTGTGTGTGTGTGTGGGTGTGCAGGTGTGCGTGCACGTGCGTGTGTGTGGGTGTGTGGGTGTGTGTGCGTGTGAGGGCTCATGCGTGTGTGGGTGCGCGTGCGTGGGGGCGTGGGTGTGCGTGCGTGTGCGTGTGCGTGTGTCTGTGTGTCTGCGTGTGTGGGCGTGGGCGTGGACGTGTGCGTGTGTGTGTGTGAAAGTTACCAATACAAGGGGTTATGGTCTCCACTTGTAGAGGGAAGTTAACGCTCATAAAAATATTTTTTTACGACGTTTTTTCTCTTCATCCCCATCAGGAGAGAAACCCAAGAAGTACTAAAGTTTTCTACATTTGGAAGTTCATAAAAACCAAGCCTGATCTTCATCATTTTTTTTTTCGTCATTCCATTATGGTTAATTCAGCTATGTTTCTGTATTTAGTTTTCATCATAGCTATAGTTTTTGGCCAAGTGGTAAGCGTTCGATCCTAACATCTCAATCTCCGTCGTGTCTTCTCCCTGTAGCCGCCTCCTCTCTTCTCGGCCCGACCATCGTGCAACTCGAGGGCCACCTTCGCCTGTCTAGCGCCACCATGAGCGTCGTCGTGATCCGGAACACGAGTCAGCGTGACCTCTTACCATGATCATCGTCTCTCCACGCCCCAGTTTACCCCAATCGCACCATCGTGAACTAGAGGTGAGTCAGAGAGGTCGCGAGTCAAGCCTTTTGGGCCACACCCCTTTGCTTTGATTCTATTTCTTTTACGCTTATTTTAAATTGGATTGTTCTCCTTAGTTAAGGATAGATTATGTGTGGGTTCTGTTTATTTGCATATGAAATTATTGGCTTTGTTGATTGAATCGAGTTTTGGTTTGATTCTAGGTTTTATATCGTTACTCTCATTCAATCTGGCTTGAATATGTGATTTTCATTAGGAATGACAATTAAACTCGTACCCGTGGGGACCGACCCGTCCCCGCCCCGAGTTTGACGGGGAAAACCCGAGTTAACGGGGGGCGGGTTCAGGTTTTCCTCGCTTTAAAAAGTCGGGGGCGGGGGCGGGGATGGGTAATGCAATTCCCACCCCGACCCCGTCCCCGCCCGACTTTATATTTAAATTTAAAATTTAAAATATTAATACTTTAAATGTATTTTCTTTTCTTTTTCTATTATATATAAGTTTTTTTTTTTAATATTTCACCAATTTTTATTTTTCTTCTACCCACTTTTAATATCTTTCTCGTTTTTTACATTTCCTTAATTTCTCCCATCAATTTTTTTTTAATCTTTTCAATCAATTTGATGAACACAAAGTAATTTTTTTTCTTTATCTTTTTCTAAATATTTTACATAAATCTTAGTAGTAACTAATATTATTTTATTTATAATTTATATTTATTAGATTTTATTATGTCATCTTTTTTATTTTATTATTCTTATTTATCATATATCAAATTTTATCTTAATAAAATAATTATATTTTAAAAGATTAAAAGAAATTGATAATTTAAACTTTTATTACTTCGAACTAATTAGATAAGAATTAACTTATTAAATATTTTCTTATAAACTATATATTTCATATTTTTAAATGACAACTTAAAAATGAATTAACTTATATATATAATTAAATATTTGAATACAGTATTATAATAATAATGTTATAAATATTCAATTATTTGAATAGTATAATAATAATAATAATAATGATATAAATATTCTCTCTCTATATATATAAATAAAAAATAATTAAATATTTTTTTACATACATATTTTAATATAAATATAATAAATTAAAATGTATATTTAATTAATAATAATTATAAATTATAAAAATTTATTTATATATAAAAAATACATAATAAAATTAATTTATTATAAATGTAATTATCTTTTTAAAAATAATATAGATCGGGGACGGGCGGGAGCGTGAAACCCGAAACATAGCGGGATTGTAATTCAACTACTGCTGTAGTTGTAATTCAAGCTAGTAGCAGTAGCTTCTGTGTCTTTTTTAATGTTGGACGTGAGATAGAAGGTGTAATCCAAGTTTTTAAAGTTTTTCCGAACACATACAAAATAATTCTCCGATGATCCCATCGTAAGGCCCAATGAGAAACAGACCTCAAAATTTTTTATTTTGCTCTAGCTACAGACCTCAAAACTAGTATATATATCAGACCCTTCATTTAAGAAGTGAGAAAGTCTCAAATCCCCAACCTTATAGGTTGAATTATTATTTGAAATTAAAAATGTTAAAAATAAATAAATAAATAATAACAAATGACAGTGTTTATTTTAAAAATAAAAAAATGAAAAAATAGGATTAAAAAGATGAAAAAAAGTAGTTCCATTTTTTTAATATTTTAATCCTTAAAATAAAAAATTAAAAAATAAAAAGAAAATTTGAAAAAAGAAGAAAAGAGAAAAATATAAATAATTTATTTTATTAGTATTTTACATTAAAATAATAATAATAATAATAATAATAATTTTTAGTATTTTACACAACTGCCTCCGCACCACCCCTCCACCAGCAATAGCAATCGCCCACCACCCATCTCCACCACCAACCTCCCCTCATTTCCAAATTATTGACCATACAACATTTTGTAGTTTTCATTTCCTTTGGAAGGGGTGATCTGAGTTTGATTGTATCCTAATCCTATCCTTAATTTTGTTCCATTGCCAGTGTTCAACTAGAGCATAATGGGATCAAAAAATGAAAACAGGAAGAACCGTAAGGACAAAATAGAGAAGAAGGCTAAGGATAATTTGAGTTCAAATCATTCAGCACCAAGTGATGTTAAGGTTATCAGTGATCCTCGATATGCAAAGGCTCAAACGGATCCTCGGTTTAGGGAGGCTCCAAAGCGTGAAACAAAGGTGGCCATTGACTCTCGCTTCAACCGCATGTTTACTCACAAGAGTTTTTTGCCCTCTGCTGCTCCTGTTGACAAGAGAGGCAAGCCCAAGAACAACCCAACCTCACAACTTGGTTCTATGCGCCATTACTACAAAATTGATGAAAAGGAAGCAGAGAAGAGTAATGATGAGGAAGAGGAGAATAAAGAGGAATTGGTGAAAGTGAATCGGTTGAAACCAGAGGGTAATAAAGGTTCCGAGTTGGAAGAGACCAGTGAATCTGAGTCATCATCTGAGTCAGAAGAGACCAGTGAGTCAGAGTCTGCTACAGATACAGATACAGATGAAGGTGCGGATGAGGAAGTGAATGAGGAAGAAGCATCTGATGTCCAGGTACCTTATTGCATTTTAATTTTAATTTTCTCATCTTTGATATTTGTGATGCTGTATATAACATGGATTGGCCCTTTTGAATTATTATTATTCTGTTGACAGGAAGACATAGTGGAGATTGACAAGGAAACACATAGGCTTGCTGTTGTTAACATGGACTGGAGGTTTGTTAAGGTACTATGTATTTTAAGTGTAATGTGCATTTTCTGCAGTACATTTTTAAGATGAGAAATATTTAAAATGTTGGCTAAAAGGTAACTCTTGTTTGTTGTTTTTTGCTAGGCTGTTGATTTGTATGTATTGTTAAGCTCATTTCTCCCACCTAATGGACTGATCAAGTCAGTAGCTATCTATCCATCTGAGTTTGGCCTTCAACGTATGAAAGAGGAGGAAGTTCATGGACCTATTGGTCTATTTGATGATGAAAATGAAAAAAGTGATGAAGATAACAACAATGACGACATTGACAATGAGAAACTGCGTGCATATGAGAAGAGTAGGATGCGGTAAGTAACTATCAAAAACACGTGTAATATGATATACTGACTTGACTTAACTGCATTTTAGATAAAGATGTCAAATGCTTTATCCCCTTATATTAACTATAACTCAGTAATTTTATCAGTTTATAGTGGTTTCTATCATTTAATCTAAAATCATTATTAATTTTTCCTTCAAGAACTCAATACATCAATAGGTAGGTATATGCCTTTTGATATAATGAATAAGGAATATTTTACATGCTGATATCGTTACACTGAAGTGTAATGTTTAAAAATGATGACCATGATTCATGACAAGACCTTTCTTTTATAGTTGCCTTTGTTGTCAAATTTTCTTGTAATCCAGCATGGTATCAGCATGATCACTTGAGTTTTACTGCCATGCATGGTGATCGGGATTAAGCTCCCCAGAGCACATGGCAAGCTGAATGGTTTCATGATCCAAATGCCCATCAGATGGCTACGACTAGGCCCAAGATATTCCAGGTTTACTTTGGTAGGTTGAAGGTGGGAAAGAGTAGCTCAAAGGGAGCCCAAGAGGTGTGGGGTATGGGGGGATAATGCATGATTCTGTTTTTCTTCTTTTTTCCCTAGGTTGGGCTGTGGGAATTTCTTCCAGAGATGAAAGCATTAAGTCTTCTCTGTCTGTATTTGCATTACACTTTACATTAATATTATAGTCTCTCATTTTGGATGAGAATATCCTACCCATTGGTGCTTTCGATAAGAGAACTTTTGGGGAGATTCTAATACATGCAAAGCTGTATGGGTAACCCAGATAATTGCAGCTTTACATTACCATATCCTAGTTGTTGAGTCTGCTCTCAATACATGACTAAATGATCATTCAGTCAAACTGAGTTCCTTTCAGCCTTACAGAACCAACATGTAGTGCTTCTGGAGTTCTTTATGATGGTATAACGTTAAGGGGAACTGAGTTTTGGTGGAGAACCTTGGATACCTCATTCCTATGACTATCATTTTCCAATTAAGCATATTAAAATTTCCTGCATTTTATTGTGATTATTCAGTTGGGGGTGTCAAGAACTGAAGGCCTTAGAAACACATTGTTATTCACTCTTTATGTGAAGACCCATGTCTGACATCTTGCATGACATTATATTGTTGTGCTTTTTCATACCCAACATGGGTTAAGTAAATTGTTCTGCTGATTGATACATGTATCCACAACGTACAACTAAGGAAACTAAAGCGATCTTTTTAGCAGTTATAGTTCAGTATTTTAACAGATACATGTTTACCATGCGATTTACATTTTCTTTTATCTTTTATCTTCTTTTCACACTAATCTTTTTTTGTTTCTGCGCTCCACAGGTACTATTTTGCTGTGGTGGAATGCAACTCAATTGCCACAGCAGATTACATTTACAAGGAATGTGACAGTGTTGAGTTCATGCAGTCATCGAATGCACTTGATTTAAGGTTTATCCCTGACAACATGGAATTCAAACACCCACCTCGGGATGTTGCTAATGAGGTATTTAAGATGTGATTGATTGTACTTGACATTCAGTAGTATGTCTGATTAAAATGTGTTATTTGAAAATTGATTGATGTGGAATTTAAATTCATGTGATCTCTATACGTGTGTGCTTATTTGCATATAAATAGATCCAAATTTTGACTCCTTTCTATACTTAGGTACCTGCAAATTATGAGTGTAAGAATTTCTATTCTCGAGCACTACAGCACAGTGAGGTTAGTCTTACATGGGAAGATGATGAACCTCTTCGGGCAAAGATATTGAACCGGAATCTCAATGATGAGCAGGTCAGTTTGCTTTGTTGTAATCAGGGTTTTAAATAACATGCTATAGCACCACCGTACTGGTTAGCAGTGTGGAGCAGCTCGTGGCTGCTATAGCGGAGTAGACCAAATAGCATGCTCCATAGCACCGCCAGTCAATGCTATAGCAGCTCTATGTGTTGATTTCAAAAACTACCATAGAACAAAGATATTAGGTCTTTTTTGGTAGGCTATTGTTTGGGATTTTTATATCCAAAATTGAAAATTAATAGATGTAATAATGGTGAAAATGATAAAGAAGACTTTAGATTTATAAGATGATGACTGATGATTCCAATCTAGGAAACTTGTATATTGGGTCCTTTTTGATGGGCTATTTTTGGGATTTTTATTTCCGAAATTGAAATCTATTGATGTAATAACAGCGAAAATGATAAAGGAGACTTGGAGTTAGTAGACTGTTAATTCCAATCTATAGTTGTGTTGATTTCTAATATACCCTAGAAGAAAGATATTGGATCTTTTTTGGGATTTTATTTTCCGAAATTGAAATCTATAGATGTAATAATAGTGAAAATGATAAAGAAGATGTTGATTTATGAGACTGGTAATTCCAATCTAGGAAACTTGTACTTGACTTTTGTTTGTGTACACTTGTATTTTTGGTTATGACACCAATGAATGCTATAGTGTCTCAATGTGCTGATTTAAAAAAATACCTTAGAACAAAGATATTGGGTCTTTTTTGGTGGGGAATGTTTGGGATTTTTATTTCAAAAATTGAAATCTATAGATGTAATAATAAAGAAAATGATAAAGGAGACTTGGATTTAGAAGATGATGACTTGAAATTCCAATCTAGGAAACTTGTATTTGCCTTTTGTTGGTGTTTCCTTTGTTTTGTTTATTACACCTATGAATTTTTATTCTTATTTATTAATGTTAATATTTTTTAGTAATTTTTTATCATTTCTGAGATTTTCTATGTATATAATAGTATACATTATATAATTATAAAATTTTCAACCTGCTTTATGCGATCTTGCTATAGCTTTTTTGGAGCTGTCCCCTATGCTACGCCATCCAGGATTTAAAACATTCACCGTAATCTACTGTATATGTTGTGTATAATTTTTATCCTTTTGAAAATTCTTGGTTTAAATAGTGTTATTCTGAGTCTTGATTATTTCCATCTTTTATATGGTCATTTATAAACGCGGTTCTTATTTATTAAATTATTTAATTACTCCTCATATTACAAAGGAAACATGCACAATTTATTAGTCGGTGCATCCGTAAATATCCGTGTCATGTGCATATATATGCTCCACATTTATATCCTTAATATTTTACAGTACTTGTGTGTCCTTTACACGTGTCTATTTGTTTTTTATCAACATCTAACCACATGGATAGGCATGGATAGGCATGTATATTCTTGTATATTACTTTATATATATATATATATATATTGTATTTATCTTTTGGTGATTTGTTTCATATTGAACTGGTCTTTTCTATCTTCCCTTCCTCTTTAATAGCTAGCTCAGATGGAATTGAAGGAACTCTTGAATTCTGATGAGAGTGAAAGTGATGATAGCAAGGATAATATTGAGACAGATGATCAGTCTGATAAAGTAGAAAAAAAACGAGCAAAATACCGTGCTTTGCTCCAGTCTGGTGATGATTCAGATGGAGGTGATGAACATGATAATATCCAGGATATGGAGGTCACCTTCAATACAGGTTTGGAAGATTTAAGCAAACATATATTGGAAAAGAAGGATAAAAAATCAGAAACAGTTTGGGATGCATATTTGAGGAAAAAACGTGAGAAAAAGAAGGCCAGGAAAAATAAAGCAAAGTATTCATCAGATGACGATAGTGATGATACTGATCAAGAGGCAACTGAAGAAGGAGATGACTTCTTCATCGAGGAGCCTGCTGTCAAGAAGAGGAAGAAGGAACAAAATACAGAAGACAAAGAACATAAGCCCCAAGACAAAGTGAGCAAAGAGGAGCTTGAACTGTTGCTTGCTGATGATAAGGGGACGGATGCTGGTCTCAAGGGATATAATCTTAAATTTAAAAAAGGCAAGGGAAAAAGGAGGGATAATGCTGTTGAAGAGGACAAAATACCAAGTAATGCATATGATGATCCACGTTTTGCAGCTCTTTTCTCACCAAACTATGCAATTGATCCTACCGACCCACAATTTAAAAGGTATTTGCTGTTGTATAGTGCTTTTAAGTTTTATTCAACGTTTTTATAATCAGACTAATAACTGGTCAGGACATTGTTTCAAGGTTCTTAACATTCAAAGTAAATCTAATGTCATAACTTTATAACACTAAAAACCAAGATTTTGTCAAAATCGAGATTTTAAGTACGACTCAGGTTTAAATTTTAATGAAATACACAATGGTTACTAACCATAACAAGTTTTCATATAGAAATGACTAACAAGAACGTAGATGATAAAATAATATCATAACAATTAGTGCCTTATCAAATGTCTTTTATATGTTAAATATGTTTTAGATTTGAATGAACTACAAAATGTTTACTAACCATAGCAAGTTTTCATATAGAAATGACTAACAATAACGTAGATGATAAAACAATATCATAACAATTTGTAAGCCTTATCAAATGTCTTTTTTAATGTTAAATGTTTTAGATTTTTTATTTTTTGAAAAATACATTTCTTTTAGCAAACTGGTCTCTTGGCTTGTTTCTGATTAAGTCTGTTGAACTGGTTGGTCCAGATAATATTTATCAAAACCGTGGAGAAGTGCCAACTTCTAGTTTCTTATTGGGACCATTTTCTCTCATAAGAGCATGGAGTACCATTTTCCTTAAATGTTAAAAATGTATTTCTTTGCATGTCAAATTTCTTTCAACCAAAAGTTAATGCTGCTGGTAGCTAGGCTTCTATTATTAGATAAGTAGTAACTTACATGTTACTCTAGTTTTATGAATTACATTTGTTTATAAGTGGTTGACCTGCCAATAATTTCATGTTTAACATGTGGGGAAACTAATTGTTATTGTCAAGATTGGATGGCGGTTCTTGATCTCTGATTATTCTTGGGTTCAAGAATATGCTGACTTTATTGTAGCAAACTCAGGATGTATTCTGTTTTATTTAATTCCATAATATAACCGTGGGTGTTTGCAGGAGTGCAACATATGCAAGGCAGCTAGCACAGAAGCAGCTGAAGGATAGTGCGGATCCACCTATGGAAAGGGAGCCCTTAAAGCTAAAAGGAATGCAGTTGTCTTCTGATGATTCAGGCATGATGAAGAAAGGTGAGGAAAAAGTATTGGATGCTTCAAAGTCAAAGAAAGATAAATATGAAATATCATCTTTGGTTAAATCGCTTAAGATGAAATCAAAGCAAGTTCAGTTACCCTCTGAAAGCAAGACAAGGAAAGATGGAAAATCACACATTAAAGGTGTGAAAAGGAGGCACTAGTTGTGAATCTTGTGGTTCATTAAGCGGGTAGAATTGGTCTTTTCTTTACGTTACAGAACCCAACAGGGGAAAAAGGAAGTTAGCAGGTAGTTAACCTTCTTTCATGTTGTTTAAAGTCTTGTTCCCGTCCAAATCACCCATTTGAAATTTTGAAACCACATAATTAGAATTCGTCATCTTTATTTTGTTGAAAACATTTTGTACGGCATATATATATATATATATATATATATATATATATATATATATATATATATATATATATATATATATATATATATATATATATATATATATATATACTAGTAAATAATGTTATTTCTTCCTTCTTTTTTTCAAATGTCCTTCTACAATATCTTAATTTAATTATAAAACTTACACTCATTAAAAGTTCATATTTTTCTTCTTATTAATTATTAATCTTATAAATACTTCATATTAAGGTTCATTCAACTAGTATCCTATTACACAAGATAAAATATAATTATCTTATTATTTATTATGATAATCTCATGTAAATCAAATTATTATGTTTTTTTCATAATTTTTTATTTAAAATTCAGGATAATATTAACAATTAAAAATTCTAAATCCAATAATATGCGCGCGCACACACACATATATATATATATATATATATATATATATATATATATATATATATATATATTATCTATATATCTAAAATTATAAATACAATTAATTAACTTTTATCTATAAAAACAATTACATGTATGTTAATCTGTTTAAATTATTTATAATAAATTGTATCAAGAAGAGGTATTGGTAACCTCTGACTTGTACCATTTTCAGTTGTGATTATTGTAATTGTTGCTAATTACTACAAAATTGAGATAAGTTATACTTTCAAAACCTTTTCTTGTTTTTTACTCTTATATTTAGTGGGAAAGATAACCCTACAAGCAACTATAGGTTTCGGAATAACTTTTACGAAAATGTTCAGAACTAATAATCCTTAAAATATTTAATTTAAAATTAATGGATCTAGAAAATTTTCAAATTATAGGATTAAATAAATTGTCAGATTAATTATATATTATTATTATTATTATTTAATTCAAAATTTTAAGTAATATGGATAAAATAAAAATATATTGTTATGATTTTATTAAATGACCATTTTACTTTTGGTTTGAAATATTTAAATATATTAAATGGAAGACTCTAAAATATTTTTTGAATTATACGTAAATTTTTTTTAAATTACTATATCTATCTAGTCAAAAAATTAATTAAGCACTATAAATATTAAAATTCTCATTTCTAATATTGTGACAGTAATATCTTAATAATATTTGAGATATTTAGACATCAACTCATCTTGAGATACTAAAAAATTATCATAATTGCTAATAAATAGAGATAAAATATATCGGATAGTTATGATAATTTATCATTTATAAAGAAGTTTAGTATTTCATTTATGCTACTCATTCATATTTATTTTTTCTTATGAATATAGAATTACATGTATCTCTCCTATTCCGCTTATACCGTTCGGCTCACTAGAAAAAAGCTCAAATGCTCTCTTCAAATTCAGATAACAATACTTGGCGTCCACTGTGAGATTAGATAAAACCCATCCCACCTTCACCTAAAGGTTAGACTCTCATCCCACCTTCCCCTAAAGGTTAGACAGCGAAACATACATTCTTCCTTGCAAATCATAGACCTAATAATACACCTGAAGAGCCTTAAGGCCCATATGATCGAGCTATAACAAACTAATGAGAAAATTGAAGCCTTAAGAGAAAAAATTGATCAAGATCAAAAGTAACATCATGAAGAGCTAAAAGTATTGTATAATAAAATTGACGAGATCACTAAGAAATCAGCAATAGTGAAGAACACATGTCACAAAACGAGGATGACATAATAACTATAGTGGAATATTGCTCCCACTTCAAAAACCCTAAGTCAAGAAAACTCGATAATCAACATAAGTCCAACACCGAACAACAAAAGACTATACAAAAAGAAGGTCGAATAAAAGAAAACTAAAAGAGAAGGTGAGTTAGTTATGTCAACTCGAGCTCCAATACAAGCACGAGCACAATATGAGCTATGTTTGCACCACAAATTCTCAACAAATCTCTTTCTCAAAGCTGGCGCGTATCTTAATCGACTCCTACACCAAAACCTTACCTCACGTATATAGAAATATACCAACCAAGACTTCTTCAAATGCTGAATTTTTCTGATCACACTCTAGGGCATTGCACTCCAATAGATATGAGTTGCTAAAAGGATCCATCACTGGTTTTGGAGACTTAGCAAGCAAACAGAGAGTTTGGTTCGCAACAAGTCGTTCTCATATTGTTGACTCAACAACCTTTGAAAGCATTAGGCAAGGAAAAAAGAGTCACTATGAAAATTTCTAGAAAGGTTCACAACCACCAGCCTCTTTATATTTTGCTTAGAAATGATCGTTACAATGCACACCATGATTATCGGACTCTGAACCAGATTGTTTATAGACAACCTATATCTTAATAAGTCAAAGGATATGAACAAGTTAAAGACGCAGGTCTCGAATTACATCCAATTGGAAGAAGCACCGAGCTACAACAAAGAAGAGAGAAGAACTCGATCATGTGATCAACAAAAGTCATCCTAAGTAGATACGGAAGGTTTGTTACGACAACTACACACCATTAAATGCATCCTGTGAGGTCATCTTGCGAGAAGCATGCAATTTGGAACTAATGACCCTACCTTAACAAGCCTTTACAATATCAAATTCGAAGAAAAGATGTACTTACCATCAAAATTATGGTCATAACACAGAATATTCCTCAAATCTACGAGACATCATTGAGGATCTAATATAGTATGGAAATTTGACCCAGTATGTCAGAATAAGTAGTGAAAAGAATCGTGGGAATTGAGATTGCAAACGAGTATTACCAACAAGAAAGCAGACAACCCATAGTCTAACCCCCTCCACAGGAGTAATCAACACTATAGTAGGATGTTTTACAAACAGGGTCAACCAACTCGACACGAAAATGATTGAAATATAATTTCTATTAATTTATTTATCCAAGTAGATAAGTTGATATAAAAATTTTCTTCTCTCTCCTCATACTTTTTTTTTTCTTTTTTTCTCATTCACTCCTTATATTTTTTTCTCTTTTGTATCTCATATCTTTATTTTTCTCTCCTCTTTTACTTTTATTCTAATTAAACTACTATATTGAAATTTAATAAAATTATATTAAATTAAATATTTTAAAATCAACATTGAAACTAAAAAATATCAACTAATTATTTAAAATTATGATGATAATAAATATTTATTATGACACTAAATAAACAATGTTATAAAAATTAATTTAAAATTATTTTATCATAAAAATAATTACTCATCTAAAACTAAAAAACGATGTTAATAAATATTTTTATTGTTTAAAAATAATAAAAAACTAGTTTTATCAAATTTCAATTTATTATTATTTTTATTAAAAAATAAGACAGAATAAGAAAGGAATAAGAAAAGAACAAAAGAGGGTGAATAAATAAAACAACAACAAAAGAGAGAAAAAATAAATAAATAAAGAAAAAGAAAAAGAAATAATTATATTAAATAGATTAAATCCTATAAATAATATATTTTAAAAGAAAAATTTTTCAAATAAAACCTTTATTAATTTATTTACTCGACTAGATTTTTTTTTATTTTTCATATACAATTTTTCTTCCCTCTCTTTATAATTTTTTTTTATATTTTTTCCCTTTTCTATTTTATGTCACTTATTTTTTTCCTCCTCAATCACTTTTTATTCTAATTTAATTATTATATTAAAATTTAATAAAAATATATTATAATAAATATTTTAAAATCAACAACGAAATTAAAAAATATTAACTAATTATTTAAAATTATGATAACAATAAATATATTTTTTTTATGGACAAAAAAAAGAATAATAAAAAGTAGATAAAAAAAGAGAATAATAAAAAATTAAATAAAAAAGAGAGGAAAATAATTGTATTATGTCTGACAAACTTATCTGTTCTAATTGAATTTTATGTATAAAGATTAAACCGACGTAGTTAAATAAATTAAATTAAAAATGTTCTATCTAAATAATTTGTTTTTTAATATATTATATATAAAATTGATTCATATTTTGTTATATAAACTTTGTTTCATGTATAAATAATAAATAGATATAATTAAATAAATAAATTTTAAAAAAATTATTTAAATATATTTTAAAAAATATAATTTATTGAATTGATTAAACTAAAAAAACAAAAATTAAGGAAAAATGCCCTTGATCTTAAAAATTGATCTTAACAAGAAGCTTTTCAGCTTGATCCTTTTTTTAAAATAATATTTTGATAAATTAAAATTTATATACTAACAATCCAAATATAAAAAAAATACAACATACAAATTATTATTATTATTATTAAAAAGTTATTAAATGAAAAAAAAGTTAATCTTTCCATTACATCATTTCATTTAAATTTATTATATTAATATTATACATAATTTAATTAACTTTAAAATATCTAAATTATACTTTTTTTAATTATTTGTATCTTAGATTTATTTTTTATTATGATAAGAATAGTTTATGTAAATTAAATTATTTTATTCAATATTTATAGTTTATAAATATATATTTTTAGTCTTGTTTCGATTATAGAGTAGATAGGAATGAAAAAGAAAGTAATTAGGAAATGAAATTATTTGAATTAAGAGAAAAGAATGAAAAGTAAAAAAATGTATTTTTTAATAATAAATTTATTTATTATTTTAATAATATAAAAATATGTACATTAAATAAAAATTTTCATTATAAGTTATCTATAATTAATTATTTAAGTAAATATTATATATATATATATATATATATATATTTAATTGTATTTTAAATTTTAAACTTTTTTTCAACAAAAAAATATATTTTTCGATTTTTAAATTTTATATATTAAAATAAGTAAAATTTACATATTTCCGTGCTTTCAATGTTTCCGTGACTGAAAACAAAGAGGTGGTTGTTAAGAGATATATAATTTCAAATTGACCATCCTCTTATAAACACAACACTATTTTACAACTCATTTTAATAATATAATATTAATAAAAACTTTTCAACTTATATTTATTAATATTATTATTATTATTATTATTATTATTATTACTGTTATAATAATGGAATTGTAGATTAGATGTATATGAATGAATAGTGGTGTGCAAAAATTGTACCAATTTCAAATAAAACGAAAGTTTTTAAAAAATTTACCAAACTATTTTTAACTTAAATGAGATTTTGATTTTAACTTAAAAAAATTTACTGACAAATAGCCTTCATTTTTTTTAAATTTTAACTTTAACTTATAATAATAATAAAAAACTTGAAATAAGAAAAGTTAGGTGAAAGTAGCCCTTAATTATTTTTCATTTCAGTGTTAAAATGGTAATGAAAATAATAATATGAGAAAATCAGACAATAACATCTAATATTAACCAGTTGAAGGAACGTCACAACACAACAAAAATGGAATAGATTCAAACGAAGCTAATAAAACCTGGAGGTGGTAATTTTTCAACAACAAAAATGTAACCCATCTGAAACTAGAGGACCTTCATGGCCATTGAAGCATGGATACTTCAAAATTCAGAAGCCATGCAACATACTTCATGAGGCTTGAGTTGCATACGGAGGCCAATAAAGATGAAACTCAATCTTGTAGACAACAGTGAGACCCGTAAGATCAACAGGAGAAGAAGTAACATAGCCTTGCACAAACATGAAATCTTCAGTGCCTCCTACAACTGGAAGATCCGAGGATTTTACGTTGTCTGTGACACCAACAACAGAAAGGGACCCCTTGTGCTGCTTCAAACGCAGAGTTAACTTTGCAATTGAAATGCTTCGAAGCCCGTCAAGACTAGATGTCACTGTAGTTCCTTCTGCAATCCCAACAAGTTTGGAAGATCTGTTGGCTGCAACAGTCAAAGGGTCCTGAAAGGCAAATAAGGTGCCAAAGGGGGTTGTGGTTTGAGTCACTCCTGCTCCTCCTTTTATACCATTCACAATGATATATCCGGTTTTGTTTATGGTCTCATGTTGAAACAGTGAGAAGTGGAGGGATTTAAGGTGTTGGTGGTGGTGATGGGAACCTGCAGATGTGGTTTTGAATTGGATTGTGGCCAAAAGTAAAATGGCAAGAACATAGTTCTGTAAGGAAGCCATAACTACTGTTTTAGTTGTTGTGATTAGAATGCAGAGAAGGGTCATACCCCGTTTCATTATATACAAGACAAGATTGGTTTCTTTTCTTCTTCTTTTTTTCTTTTTTTTTTGTGGCACAAAACTTGGTTCACATTACGTATGAAACTGCCAATGACTTGTGGGTGACTGACTATGAAGTCAATGAAAACAATAGTCAAGTGATTTGAGGCTATTCTTCGGTCTTCTATCCATTTTATGAATCCTCTGGTTTTGACTGAAAATTTGTGTTACTAGAAGTAATATATACAAACTATAAAGAGTAAAAGTAAATATTACTCTGCATTTGGTCTCTAATTCAACGTTGTGGATTAGGAATTAGTATGTCAGAGTTCCTCAACATATTTGATGAAGATCTTTATTTACTAAAAACGTATAAGAAAAATAGGGAGGGACGTAAATTAATATATGATAAAATTAATAAAAAATAGTGTAGTCATTTTTACAATTTTCAAGCTTTGTTTCATTAAGAGCACACTAAATTGAGTGGATTATTAACCTGCCTTTTATTTATTTTTTTCATTTCTTATTTTTACTAATTGTTAAGGTAGAAATGTGAATATGAATTTATATCATGTAAATATAGACAAATTAATATCATATAAGTGATAAGGTTTATAAAATTAAAAGGTTTTAAATTAAATTTGATATCAAATCACTTATGTAGTTCTTTATATCTCTTTGATGAAGATTTATATAACGTTGATTCTTTTGAATTTATGACAAGTGATAAACAAAATGATGGTTTGACAAATAACTAATTCACATTTCAAGAAGTATATAAAATATAGAAGAATACACGAGAAAAAAAAAATAAGAAAAATAAAGGTTGTTAAGTGAGAATGTGAAGGTTTACACTTAATAGAAATGGACAAATTAAATAAAATGTTGAAAATGACTAATCTCTTAAAATTTTGGATTAAATATAATCTAAAATTTATTAATAATTGACCCAGTTTATTAGTAAAGATTTTTTTCAATATTTATCCCTCTCACTGTTCTACTATGTCAAATTTAACCTTAATAAATATTTAAATATTTTTTCAAACACAATACTATTACAAACTAACTAAACACGAATACAACATTTATTTTATTATTTTCAAAAGAGATAAAATGATGTGTTCATTCATGATGGGGAGAAACTTTTTCAATGTTAATATATACATGTGAATCTACGCATATTTTTTTAAAACACTTGTTGAATTAGGAGACTTTTTCCGTTTTAGACTGAGAAGTAATCTTCTTTCTATAAATTATTATAAGAAAAGCATCACTTTATAAAACAAGTAGTTTCAATTATTATTAATAAAATTAGTAGTTGGTACGGAGAAATTAATAATAAATTATGAATATGTTAAAATAGTTTTAATTGTTTGTTGTGAACAAATTGTTTACTTTACCTTCACATATGTGAAAAGAAAGCAGTTTGAAAAATTCTATCTACTCTTCAATTAGGTAATGAAAAGTAAAGTGAAGTAAACATTGGTGAAGAAAAAAAAAATGGTAATAAAATAATGATTAATAACCTCTCTAAATCTTGCATTAAAACTTATGTCCACATCTACTTTTTAAATTTGAAATAAGGTCAGATGTTATTTTCAAAAGCATTTATCACCACGCAAACAAGTTTTAGTTTAGTGGTGAAACAAAGAAAATCACAAAAGTCAAAATTTCCCCCTCTTAACACTAATAATTAAAATATATTGACTCACGAAAGGAAATTCTAATACGAAACTTTGAATCAAGCTCCACCTCTAAAATAATGATTTCAAATTGGAGACTAAAATAAGTAATATTAATTATTAATAAAGGAGTAGTGATTCATTTTATGTATACATACATAAAAATTTATGAATTAGGGTATATTTACTAATAATTTTCTTATCACTGATTGTTATTACTTATTTTACTCTTATTCTGAGTTTTAATTACAAATTTAACTTCTTTAGATTTGAGAAATAATACTTTGTAAATTTACCTTCACCGGAATAATAATAATAATAATAATAATAATAATAATAATAATAATAATAATAATAATAATAATAATAATAATAATAATAAATTTGACAATTTCTAGAAAAGTGTTTCCTAAAATTTGGAGGATGATCTGGATAGCACATTTCTAGGTTTTTATACGTCAAAATGACAAAGTTTAATAACGCATTAGTCAAATTTGAATAGACCCACTTGCTTGTTTGTTTGTTTGTTTAGTACCACACTTTTCCATCCAAATCCTATGCAAACCTTAGTTCATACTAACCACAATCCTCCCAAGTGAAAACTAAAGACGTGTTTACTTTTATTTTTATTTTTAATTGCAAAGTTATTATTTTATTTTTCAATTTGTTTCTCGGAAACATTATATGGGAAAGAGATCATAAGAACAGTTATTTTTAGGGAAGGTTTAGTACAAGATATTTATTTTTGTCAAAAAATAATTTCTGAAAAAGATTAAATATGCTTGGCTTAATTTGTTACAATTTTTTTAAAATATTAATGTAAGTCTTTTTGAGAATTAAAGAGTAATTTAATTATTTATCACACGATCAAATAAAACTAACATAATATTTTTATAATATTAAAACTAAAACTTCTATAATTGGAGGAAACTAGGTTCTCACGTCGTTTCATGGAAACAACTTTGTAAAAAGAAATAGTTGAAAAGAACATGATTTCATGAAATTGTTGTTTTTAAAATATATACCAACGATGGAAATTCAACATTTCTAATTTTAGATTCTTGATAAACTAAATTTATTTTTAACTTTAGATTATAGAAAAACTAAAATTTTATATGTACCAAATACTGCCATGGTGTTTTCTGTGCAAATTTTAAAAAACAAAACAATTACGAAACTCGCAAGATTTAAAAAAAAAAGTAATAATTTACTGTCGTACTTCATGAAAATTAACATGAAAATTAAAATGATATAATTTTCATATTTATAATATTTCTTGAAATAAGCAAGCTATCCTCATTTCACACATGTCAATATTGTATTCTATTATATTCAAAGTATTTCTTTTTATTATCCTTTTTCCTGCTACTTGAACTTTTATAATTTCATAAAATCCTATAAAAATATAAAAACAAAAATTAGTACTTTAAAATATAAATATAAAAAAGAAACTGCCATCACATGCACTACACTCTCAAATTTGAGCAATAAGAATACTGTTAAAACTGTTTCTTTTTCTTTTCCAAATAAAAATGGTGTCTCTGAAAGTTCAACACTGCCCAGATCAAGTGTCTTAGACCAATCTCAGGCCAAAGTGCAGATGGTGCATATAAAGGGCATGTACTAGTCTGCCAAAGAAGAAAATTACTGAGGCGAGCCTCTCCAGATGTTCGTATCAAGATATCTGGGTCAGGTGCAACTGCCATGTACATATTCTTCTCAACATCCACCAGTTTTATAAAAGGAAACTCATCCTGTTTATGCTTTCTCTCTTCAGTCATTTCAACCAGCCCATTGTTTGATGTGATTTCAGCTTTACTGTAGCTGCTGGCATGATTTTCAACATTATTTTCAAACAAACCATCTTTCTTTACAGCACTTTCCACTTCACTACTACAAGCTTTGATTCCATTTAGATGGTCTTTACATGAATCTCGAGAAAGCAAACCAAAATCATTTCCTCCCCGGCCTTGATCTATTCTTACAAATGCACCATTTTTAACTTTCACTTCTTTTAATGCTTGAATTTCATTCAATTTTTCCTTGCAGCATTCTTGAACAGCATGCACAATCTCGTGACGAGAAGTATATGCTACACAAATCAAAAGAACTCTTTGGTTGTTGTGGGCAGTAACTCTCATTGCCTTTTCCACAGCAGCCCTGACAGGCTCACTCAATAGTTGCATGTCCCCAATGAAATATAATCTGACACCATATTCATTAATAAGACTTTCTTGTTCAAGCAACTCCTCAATCTTGTTCCGCATCAATTCCATCAAGGACTGAACTTCTTTAGGCTTCCTCTTAAAGTTATCAATGCTGAATGCATAGACAGTTACATACTTCACTCCCAATTCATAGCAGTATCTAAGGATGGACGTGAGAACATTAAACCCAGCCTTGTGGCCATCACCTTCTTCCATGTTTTTCTTTTTTGCATACCTTCGATTTCCATCCATGATGAAAGCAATATGACTTGGCACAGGACCCACAGATAAAATGGCAAACATACATCTTCTTAGATAACAATTTAAACCTCCAAGCAAGTGGCCTATAATATTTTCAGTATTTTTCTGCATTGAACTGTTCAGTTATGAAACTTGAAGAGTCTCAGATAAACCTGCTTAAAAATAATTTCATAATTAGAGTTAAAGCAATAACAGTTGAACATCAATGTACAAGTCTACTTGCAAGAAGAAAGTAAGACTATATTGTGAATTGTTAAAATCAGTCAGAATTTATACATAAAAAAAAATCATAAATGTCATAGTTCAGACACTACATAAAATATGTGCTTCACCACTACTGCTTATGTATTAAAATCAATTTCCCGGACAACAAATTCTATTGATAATTTAAGTATCACTACTCTAAAAGTGGATGGAACTATGAGAACTGGGACTCCCAGCTACCTGTTCCTCCAAAAGTTTGTTGCAGCAATGAAGCTAGAGCAAAATTCAGTTCTGAGGTCTGTTTCTCGTTGAGCGCTAGGATGGGATCTTGGGAGAATTAAATTGTATGCGTTCGGAAAATTTAAACAACGTGGATTAGACCTTCTCCCTCCTCGTCCAACATTAAAAATACACAGAAACTACTGCTACTAGCTTCTATTGGACATGGATCTCCATGGACTGACCACACAAGTAAACATGTTCTAGGTTTAATTCTTTTTACTGCATAATATTAGCAAGTACAGATAAATATGCATAATGCACAACTTATTCATCTACTTTTCCAAGGAATGATATACTCCCTTAGCATGGATCAGGTAATCAAAGAATCAAGGTGCCATACCAAATAAATTTCCCTTAGTCTTGGAACTATCAACGTGGAATGTGAGTTCATCTGTTCTTATTTATTGTTGTTACTACAACAAAGGACCATTTCTAAAGCTTCATTCCATCCTTGGTACATATCAATGAGCAAAAATGCATAAATATTGGACAAACCACTAAGTACAAAGAAAGATATTAAAAAAAAAACGGCTTTAAATAACATGCTATAAAAGTGTAGCATTGCGGAGCTGCAACTTCCCACTACAGGGTTGCTCTAGAGGAGCAGTTTAAAGTAGCAGTCATAGCAGATCAAATAGCTAGCCGAATAGCAGTCGTAGTAGATACTATAGCAAGACTGTTCACTCCAAAAAAATCCCTCTGAACAGAGAGACATTAAGACCTTTTCGGAGGGTTATTTTGGGGATTTAAACGTTCAAAATAGAAATTTACAATGGTAATAAATGTAAAGATTATAAAAAGCCGTGGATTTAGAAAATGACAATTGATGTTTTCTTTATAGGAAAGGTGTACTTGACTTTTGTTGGAACGTGTATGCTTTGTTTGAGACAGTGATAACTTTTTACTGCTAATTATGAATGTTATTAAGTTTTAACATCTTTTATAATTTATATGATATAGTATACATCATATAAACTAAAAAAATTCAAAAAAAGGCAGTTGTCTCAGTAGAGCATATTTGTAGCTGGCCATTTCGTGCCACTATTTAGGATTTAAAACTTTGTTTGAAAGGGATTTAAATTTTACTACCAATAATCCCAAAAAGAAAAAATAATTTAAACTAAAACAACAAAATACAAACTTGGAAACAATCAATAATAAAAAAAATCTGTAATGTTGAAACAGGTACATCTGGCTGCAAATAAATTATGGGGAACAAGTGCCATTTTGTCAAAAACTAATGCAACTGACTCTAAACGAAAAGCAAATCTAAAATTAGTGTTAAATGCAAAGTTCAATGCAAAATTTCTGAACCACAATTACCTAAAGCTCACATAATATAGCATCAAAACACAATTCTCATCAATCATTCATTTTAGACATAATCAATTCATGATATAACTTTCCTTTCATAACCATATTCCCAAATAGTAATCACCAATAACATACAAAAAAGACATACCCTTTGAAAAATAAGATTAAAGGGGCCAACCTCTGATGCCAGTGCTTGATAGCAGAGCCTTCTTGAAATTCCTATGATTTCATCAACTAAATGTGTTTGGTTTGGTTTCTTGAACAACACTGATTCTGAAAAAAGACACACCTTAAAAAAGACACAGAAGGTACTGCTACTAGCTTCAATTACAACTACAGCATAATTCTACATCTATTTGTTTCCCTAGATAAAATCTAGTTTTAGTAAATCATAAATCAATGTTATTGCTAGAATGTGTATGGAATCAATTCAGTTATTGGTAGCTTGCAACATAAATTATATTTATCCTTAAAATTGATGAATGTCTGATATCCTATGCAGTAAAGAAAAGAGAACCAAACACTCTAATTAAGACCCAAACCGCAGTTATCCACAATCCAATATCCCCAATCAGACTCGCTCTCCAATCCCAAATACCAAATCCGGAACTGCCCAATCAACAACCCTGTACCAGATATTTACAACTCAATTCAGCCCCGACGCCAGATAATCCACAGATCCAATAAAAATTCAGTTTAAATCCAAAAACCGATCATAGATCAGACAAACCAAATGAAACATTTCAGACAAGATGCGCTTCGAAAACAATCAGAATCACCAAACTCAAATAGAACAACCAAACTCAAATTACAAACTGTAGACAAGAAATCAAAAGAGAAAGGGAGAAACCTTACTTAGGCCCGCGGCCCTTGCTTCTAACCACCAACCTCCAGGTTAACTTGCGGTGGCTAGGGGGCGCCAGTCACGGCCAGGGCTCCGCGGTTGGGTTTGGATGGGCTCAGGGCGGGATTTTGGCGTGATGGGTGAAGAGGGACCTTGGGACAGGGTTCGCAGTGCCGGCGAGGCGGCCCGCGGTGGAGATTGAGGGGTACTGGTGGAGGCGCGGGGCCGGGAAGATGCGCCGCACGGATGAGACGGCCACGCGGTGGCTAGGGTTCGCTTGTGGTGGCTACGACGGAGATTGGGAAGACGCGGCTCACACTAGGGTTCGAGTGAAGGAGATGGGGGTGCTACGGCCGAGACCCGTGGTGGCTGGTGGAAGCTGGAAGTGGTGGTGTGAATCACATTGGAGGAGATGCAGCCGCGGGAGGGCTAGGGCTGATGGTGAGTGGCTGTGAGCGTGATAAGGTGGTGCGGGTGTAGTTTTGGAGGGGGGGAGTGACGGCTGGAGAGTGGAGACCGTGAAAGTGGAGTGAGGGACCACTAGTTATGTGGGCAAGGTGCAGAGTGGAATAGGAGAAGCAAGGGGTCAGCGTGGAGGAAAAGAAAGTGGGTGTAAGTGAAGGTGTGGGGAAAGTGATTTGGAGATGGGCGGTGAAAGAGATGTGAAGACTGGCCGTTGGGTAGTGAAGTGATGTGAGGGTGGATATGGTAGGTTAGGAAGTGAGGTGTGGCGTGGGGCTCGTGTGAGTGAGGGGCTGCCACGTAGGAAAAAGTGAGACCCCGGGAGAGAGTGTCCGAATATTATTTTTAGGTTAAAGTAAAATGAGAGCAATCAAGTTATTGTCCTGGGCTATGCCAAAAAGTTAAAAAAAAGAAAGAGTATAATTAAATAAAAGGAAAATATATATACTTTTTCATTTTTATTTTTATATTTCTTTTTCCCCTTCCAACAATTTAAAGAAGAACTTTTTTTTCACTTGTTTCTTTATATCTTTTTAATGTTTTTTTTCATATTCTCTTCTTTTTTTATTTTAAAAAACATTACTATATTTTTTATTTTCTATTTTCAATTTTTTTATGTTTCTAAGGTAAATGTTGTCATTTATTATTATTATTATTATTATTATTTTTAATATTTTTCATATTCACTGACAAAATTGGGTGCTGAGAATACTAATTATTGACCCCTGGGAAGTTGCAAGGCAGATTTCTATTTATCTTTTTAATTTTTTTTAAACATTACTATATTTTTTATTTTTTATTTTCAATATTTTTATGTTTCTAAGGTAAATGTTGCCATTTATTATTATTATTATTATTATTATTATTATTATTATTATTATTTTTCATATTCACGGACAAAATTGGATGCTCACAATACTAATTATTGACCCCTGGGAAGTTGTAAGGCAGATTTCTAGCTTATGAAATTTTGTCTTTGGAACAACTGGGTGTTAATTTTCGGGCACTTGCCAAGTGTTTGAAAGAATGCTTGAATGGAATTTAGAAGTGATTTTTTCAATAGTCTAGTTGTTGACTGCAGATCTTTCAATCATCAGAAGAATTTGAACCACTTCCAGATTTTAAAGTTCAGCCATTGTATCGAACGAACGATCCTTTTTAGGACTCTAAAATTATGCCCGAAGTTTTATTCCGAATTTGGATAAATACACATCTCCTTTATACAACAAACACAACAAAACCAACAAAACGAGACCAACAGAAACAGAACCAAACAGAAGACGATCCAGAACAAAACCAACAGAAACAGCGAGAACTGCGAGGATGAAGAATGAAGAGCTTACTGCGACTGAGAACTGCGGCGTTCTGCGACGGCGGCGAATTATGAGCGGGGCCAAGTTTCGAACGTGATAACGGAGAGCTGCGAATGCGAACAGCAGCGAATTGTGAAGGTCGCGACTGTGAATGGAGACGCGGTGACGGACGAGCGAAGAACACGAGACCTAAACGCGACGACGATGAAGGACATTCCTCGTTCTCGTGAGCGAGAAACGCGAGACCTAAATCGCGAGTTTTAACAAAAAAACACATTTTGCGTGTCGTTTTGGCCGTTTCATTTACCGAGTCTAGTCCAAGTTTACTTACGAGATAACTCGTGTCCAGGAGTAAACTCGTAATCTCATCCGAATCTAAGAGTTCATGTTTGATAATAGGACGACAAAATCTAAAGCAGGATCACCTATTTAGTCATTCACCTACACTTAACATTTAAATGATGCAACAACAAAAAACAGTCTCATTTTCAAACATAATAGTAATTTACATTACTTTAACGAATATTCATAAGAGCGATTAGAATAACAAATCCAATCATGTTTCTGAAACGTTACCTCTTCAGTCACATTCTCTAGAGTAAAAACAATTCCAGAGAGCATGAATAATTATGCAGACCTCACCTAACTTCTACAAGTAACGCAAAACACCTCTATCACATAACTTAACACCAATGGAAAATAATGATCCGTTCATTCCATATTCTCAAATCCATTATGAATTATGAATACCGAAGATATGTTCCAGTCTCATACACTAAAAAAAATGCAGCGAACTGAACTAATCACAGAGTTGAACAAAGACATCAATTCCACAATGAAGTACAAACAAACTAATAGAAATAATCATGAACGTGGAAATTTAACACTGAATCACTCGATTGTCAAAATTCTGCCCCATAAAATAAAACATTGCAATCAGCCAATTACCAACTAAACAAAGGGAGAAAATAAAAGAGTAGGATCGAATTTGTTTACCTATCTATTATAGATGGAATTATTGTGTGATAGAAGCGATTGCTCTGAAGAAGAGAAGCATGGGAGTGTGGGACGAAAGAAGTGAAGAAGAACAGCGCAGATGGTGCTTTGGAGGAAGAGGACGGACACTCCCAGCAATAGGTTTTTCTCCTTTTCGATCTTTATTTCAAAACAAGTGTAGCACGTGCATTTTATATTATTTGATACTATAATGGTTATTTAAATTCTAATTTATATATTTATAAATATTTTGAAAATGTCTTTCGTCAGTCAATTTCTTTCTACGTTACAGAAATATTTTTTTCAGAATTTATGTATTACTAAGTAAAATATTATTTTACTTCAATACCTTTTAACTGATTGTTAAAAAAATTAGATCTAAAAATATAATCAAACGAAAGTTACAAAATCAAGAATTGATCAATTTTTTCTTTTAATTTCTTATCTACTTTTTCTTTGTCAGTTTTGATTCGAATTTAAGATTAAAAATATTTTTTTATAAAAATCTAATTACATAAATTATTATATTTATATATAATATTATTTGAGTTAAACAGGAAAAAAATATCATATATGATTTTTTTAAAATTCTTTAATGATTTAATTATTATTTTTTTATAATCCAATTAATTTTTAATATATTATCACATAGCCCATGATTCAACCCTTAATATGTTAATTATATTTTTGCGTCCTTTTTTCCAGTCATAATAGTCTCTGACGAACTTGTATATACCCAACATAGATGTAAACTTCATTAATTATATAGCAGTTGGCTGCATCCTTAATACACTTGATTTTGCAAAATCAAATCACCCAGACATACGACATAGTCTCGATATGTGCAAACTTAACGAAAAAAATAATCTCATTATACAACGTGAAAACTCTTGGAAGTTAGATAGTAAAGAAATATATTCAAATCTAGGTCGAAATACAGCTAATAGCTAATAAACATTATGGTGGTGATCATGCTACAACCCAAAAACAGATGTAGGATTCAAGACTATATATCAAACTCATTAATTTATGCCGTACAAAATGTTTTCAACAAAATAAAGATGACGAATTCTAATTATGTGGTTTCAAAATTTTCAAATGGGTGATTTGGACTGGAACAAGACTTTCAACAACATGAAAGAAGGTTAACTACCTGCTAACTTCCTTTTTCCCCTGCTGGGTTCTGTAACGTACAGAAGAGACCAATTCTACCCGCTTATTGAACCACAAGATTCAGAACTAGTGCCTCCTTTTCACACCTTTAATGTGTGATTTTCCATCTTTCCTTGTCTTGCTTTCAGAGGGTAACTGAACTTGCTTTGATTTCATCTTAAGCGATTTAACCAAAGATGATATTTCATATTTATCTTTCTTTGACTTTGAAGCATCCAATACTTTTTCCTCACCTTTCTTCATCATGCCTGAATCATCAGAAGACAACTGCATTCCTTTTAGCTTTAAGGGCTCCCTTTCCATAGGTGGATCCGCACTATCCTTCAGCTGCTTCTGTGCTAGCTGCCTTGCATATGTTGCACTCCTGCAAACACCCACGGTTGTATTATGGAATTAAATAAAACAGAATACATCCTGAGTTTGCTACAATAAAGTCAGCATATTCTTGAAACCAAATGTAATCAGAGATCAAGAACCGCCATCCAATCTTGACAATAACAATTAGTTTCCCACATGTTAAACATGAAATTATTGGCAGGTCAACCACTTATAAACAAATGTAATTTATAAAACTAGAGTAACATATAAGTTACTACTTATCTAATAATAGAAGCCTAGCTACCAGCAACATTAACTTTTGGTTGAAACAAATTTGACATGCAAAGAAATACATTTTTAACATTTAAGGAAAATGGTACTCCATGCTCTTATGAGAGAAAATGGTCCCAATAAGAAACTAGAAGTTGGCACTTCTCCACGGTTTTGATAAATATTATCTGGACCAACCAGTTCAACAGACTTAATCAGAAACAAGCCAAGAGACCAGTTTGCTAAAAGAAATGTATTTTTTCAAAAAATAAAAAATCGAAAACATTTAACATAAAAAAGACATTTGATAAGGCTTACTAATTGTTATGATATTGTTTTATCATCTACGTTATTGTTAGTCATTTCTATATGAAAACTTGCTATGGTTAGTAAACATTGTGTAGTTCATTCAAATCTAAAACATATTTTTAACATATAAAAGACATTTGATAAGGCACTAATTGTTATGATATTATTTTATCATCTACGTTCTTGTTAGTCATTTCTATATGAAAACTTGTTATGGTTAGTAAACATTGTGTATTTCATTAAAATTTAAACCTGAGTCGTACTTAAAATCTGGATTTTGACAATCTTGGTTTTTAGTGTTATAAAGTTATGATATTAGATTTAATTTGAATGTTAAGAACCTTAAAACAATGTCCTGACCAGTTATTAGTCTGATTATAAAAACATTGAATAAAACTTAAAAGCCCTATACAACAGCAAATACCTTTTAAATTGTGGGTCGGTAGGATCAATTGCATAGTTTGGTGAGAAAAGAGCTGCAAAACGTGGATCATCATATGCATTACTTGGTATTTTGTCCTCTTCAACAGCATTCTCCCTCCTTTTTCCCTTGCCTTTTTTAAATTTAAGATTATATCCCTTGAGACCAGCATCCGTCCCCTTATCATCAGCAAGCAACAGTTCAAGCTCCTCTTTGCTCACTTTGTCTTGGGGCTTATGTTCTTTGTCTTCTGTATTTTGTTCCTTCTTCCTCTTCTTGACAGCAGGCTCCTCGATGAAGAAGTCATCTCCTTCTTCAGTTGCCTCTTGATCAGTATCATCACTATCGTCAACTGATGAATACTTTGCTTTATTTTTCCTGGCCTTCTTTTTCTCACGTTTTTTCCTCAAATATGCATCCCAAACTGTTTCTGATTTTTTATCCTTCTTTTCCAATATATGTTTGCTTAAATCTTCCAAACCTGTATTGAAGGTGACCTCCATATCCTGGATATTATCATGTTCATCACCTCCATCTGAATCATCACCAGACTGGAGCAAAGCACGGTATTTTGCTCGTTTTTTTTCTACTTTATCAGACTGATCATCTGTCTCAATTTTATCCTTGCTATCATCACTTTCACTCTCATCAGAATTCAAGAGTTCCTTCAATTCCATCTGAGCTAGCTATTAAAAAGGAAGGGAAGATAGAAAAGACCAGTTCAATATGAAACAAATCACCAAAAGATAAATACAATATATATATATATATATATATATATATATAAAGTAATATACAAGAATATGCATGCCTATCAATGTGGTTAGATGTTGATAAAAACAAATAGACACGTGTAAAGGACACACAAGTACTGTAAAATATTAAGGATATAAATGTGGAGCATATATATGCACATGACACGGATATTTACGGATGCACCGACTAATAAATTGTGCATGTTTCCTTTGTAATATGAAGAGTAATTAAATAATTTAATAAATAAGAACCGCGTTTATAAATGACCATATAAAAGATGGAAATACTCAAGACTCAGAATAACACTATTTCAACCAAGAATTTTTCAAAAGGATAAAAATTATACACAACATATACAGTAGATTACGGTGAATGTTTTAAATCCTGGATGGCGTAGCATAGGGGCCAGCTCCAAAAAAGCTATAGCAAGATCGCATAAAGCAGGTTGAAATTTTTTATAATTATATAATGTATACTATTATATACATATAAAATCTCAGAAATGATAAAAAATTACTAAAAAATATTAACATTAATAAATAAGAATAAAAATTCATAGGTGTAATACACAAAACATACAAGGAAACACCAACAAAAGGCAAATACAAGTTTCCTAGATTGGAATTACAAGTCATCATCTTCTAAATCCAAGTCTCCTTTATCATTTTCTTTATTATTACATCTATAGATTTCAATTTTTGAAATAAAAATCCCAAACATTCCCCACCAAAATAGACCCAATGTCTTTGTCCTAAGGTATTTTTTTAAATCAGCACATTGAGACACTATAGCATTCATTGGTGTCATAACCAAAAATACAAGTGTACACAAACAAAAGTCAAATACAAGTTTCCTAGATTGGAATTACCAGTCTCATAAATCAACATCTTCTTTATCATTTTCACTATTATTACATCTATAGATTTCAATTTCGGAAATAAAATCCCAAAAAAGATCCAATATCTTTCTTCTAGGGTATATTAGAAATCAACACAACTATAGATTGGAATTAACAGTCATCGTCTACTAACTCCAAGTCTCCTTTATCATTTTCGCTGTTATTACATCAATAGATTTCAATTTCGGAAATAAAAATCCCAAAAATAGCCCATCAAAAAGGACCCAATATACAAGTTTCCTAGATTGGAATCATCAGTCATCATCTTATAAATCTAAAGTCTTCTTTATCATTTTCACCATTATTACATCTATTAATTTTCAATTTTGGATATAAAAATCCCAAACAATAGCCTACCAAAACAGACCTAATATCTTTGTTCTATGGTAGTTTTTGAAATCAACACATAGAGCTGCTATAGCATTGTCCGGCGGTGCTATGGAGCATGCTATTTGGTCTACTCCGTTGTAGCAGCCACGAGCTGCTCCACACTGCTAACTACTACGGTGGTGCTATAGCATGTTATTTAAACCCTGATTACAACAAAGCAAACTGACCTGCTCATCATTGAGATTCCGGTTCAATATCTTTGCCCGAATAGGTTCATCATCTTCCCATGTAAGACTAACCTCACTGTGCTGAAGTGCTCGAGAATAGAAATTCTTACACTCATAATTTGTAGGTACCTAAGTATAGAAAGGAATCAAAATTTGGATCTATTTATATGCAAATAAGCACACAATAACACATTTTAATCAGGCATACTACTGAATGTCAAGTACAATCACATCTTAAATACCTCATTAGCAACATCCCGAGGTGGGTGTTTGAATTCCATGTTGTCAGGGATAAACCTTAAATCAAGTGCATTCGATGACTGCATGAACTCAACACTGTCACATTCCTTGTAAATGTAATCTGCTGTGGCAATTGAGTTGCATTCCACCACAGCAAAATAGTACCTGTGGAGCACAGAAATAAAAGAGATTAGTGTGAAAAGAAGAAAAAAGATAAAAGAAAATGTAAATCGCATAGTAAACATGTATCTGTTAAAATACTGAACTATAACTGCTAAAAAGATCGCTTTAGTTTCCTTAGTTGTACGTTGTGGATACATGTATCAATCAGCAGAACAATTTACTTAACCCATGTTGGGTATGAAAAAGCACAACAATAAAATGTCATGCAAGATGTCAGACATGGGTCTTCACATAAAGAGTGAATAACAATGTGTTTCTAAGGCCTTCAGTTCTTGACACCCCCAACTGAATAATCACAATAAAATGCAGGAAATTTTAATATGCTTAATTGGAAAATGATAGTCATGGGAATGAGGTATCCAAGGTTCTCCACCAAAACTCAGTTCCCCTTAACGTTATACCATCATAAAGAACTCCAGAAGCACTACATGTTGGTTCTGTAAGGCTGAAAGGAACTCAGTTTGACTGAATGATCATTTAGTCATGTATTGAGAGCAGACTCAACAACTAGGATATGGTAATGTAAAGCTGCAATTATCTGGGTTACCCATACAGCTTTGCATGTATTAGAATCTCCCCAAAAGTTCTCTTATCGAAAGCACCAATGGGTAGGATATTCTCATCCAAAATGAGAGACTATAATATTAATGTAAAGTGTAATGCAAATACAGACAGAGAAGACTTAATGCTTTCATCTCTGGAAGAAATTCCCACAGCCCAACCTAGGGAAAAAAAGAAGAAAAACAGAATCATGCATTATCCCCCCATACCCCACACCTCTTGGGCTCCCTTTGAGCTACTCTTTCCCACCTTCAACCTACCAAAGTAAACCTGGAATATCTTGGGCCTAGTCGTAGCCATCTGATGGGCATTTGGATCATGAAACCATTCAGCTTGCCATGTGCTCTGGGGAGCTTAATCCCGATCACCATGCATGGCAGTAAAACTCAAGTGATCATGCTGATACCATGCTGGATTACAAGAAAATTTGACAACAAAGGCAACTATAAAAGAAAGGTCTTGTCATGAATCATGGTCATCATTTTTAAACATTACACTTCAGTGTAACGATATCAGCATGTAAAATATTCCTTATTCATTATATCAAAAGGCATATACCTACCTATTGATGTATTGAGTTCTTGAAGGAAAAATTAATAATGATTTTAGATTAAATGATAGAAACCACTATAAACTGATAAAATTACTGAGTTATAGTTAATATAAGGGGATAAAGCATTTGACATCTTTATCTAAAATGCAGTTAAGTCAAGTCAGTATATCATATTACACGTGTTTTTGATAGTTACTTACCGCATCCTACTCTTCTCATATGCACGCAGTTTCTCATTGTCAATGTCGTCATTGTTGTTATCTTCATCACTTTTTTCATTTTCATCATCAAATAGACCAATAGGTCCATGAACTTCCTCCTCTTTCATACGTTGAAGGCCAAACTCAGATGGATAGATAGCTACTGACTTGATCAGTCCATTAGGTGGGAGAAATGAGCTTAACAATACATACAAATCAACAGCCTAGCAAAAAACAACAAACAAGAGTTACCTTTTAGCCAACATTTTAAATATTTCTCATCTTAAAAATGTACTGCAGAAAATGCACATTACACTTAAAATACATAGTACCTTAACAAACCTCCAGTCCATGTTAACAACAGCAAGCCTATGTGTTTCCTTGTCAATCTCCACTATGTCTTCCTGTCAACAGAATAATAATAATTCAAAAGGGCCAATCCATGTTATATACAGCATTACAAATATCAAAGATGAGAAAATTAAAATTAAAATGCAATAAGGTACCTGGACATCAGATGCTTCTTCCTCATTCACTTCCTCATCCGCACCTTCATCTGTATCTGTATCTGTAGCAGACTCTGACTCACTGGTCTCTTCTGACTCAGATGATGACTCAGATTCACTGGTCTCTTCCAACTCGGAACCTTTATTACCCTCTGGTTTCAACCGATTCACTTTCACCAATTCCTCTTTATTCTCCTCTTCCTCATCATTACTCTTCTCTGCTTCCTTTTCATCAATTTTGTAGTAATGGCGCATAGAACCAAGTTGTGAGGTTGGGTTGTTCTTGGGCTTGCCTCTCTTGTCAACAGGAGCAGCAGAGGGCAAAAAACTCTTGTGAGTAAACATGCGGTTGAAGCGAGAGTCAATGGCCACCTTTGTTTCACGCTTTGGAGCCTCCCTAAACCGAGGATCCGTTTGAGCCTTTGCATATCGAGGATCACTGATAACCTTAACATCACTTGGTGCTGAATGATTTGAACTCAAATTATCCTTAGCCTTCTTCTCTATTTTGTCCTTACGGTTCTTCCTGTTTTCATTTTTTGATCCCATTATGCTCTAGTTGAACACTGGCAATGGAACAAAATTAAGGATAGGATTAGGATACAATCAAACTCAGATCACCCCTTCCAAAGGAAATGAAAACTACAAAATGTTGTATGGTCAATAATTTGGAAATGAGGGGAGGTTGGTGGTGGAGATGGGTGGTGGGCGATTGCTATTGCTGGTGGAGGGGTGGTGCGGAGGCAGTTGTGTAAAATACTAAAAATTATTATTATTATTATTATTATTTTAATGTAAAATACTAATAAAATAAATTATTTATATTTTTCTCTTTTCTTCTTTTTTTCAAATTTTCTTTTTATTTTTTAATTTTTTATTTTAAGGATTAAAATATTAAAAAAATGGAACTACTTTTTTTCATCTTTTTAATCCTATTTTTTCATTTTTTTATTTTTAAAATAAACACTGTCATTTGTTATTATTTATTTATTTATTTTTAACATTTTTAATTTCAAATAATAATTCAACCTATAAGGTTGGGGATTTGAGACTTTCTCACTTCTTAAATGAAGGGTCTGATATATATACTAGTTTTGAGGTCTGTAGCTAGAGCAAAATAAAAAATTTTGAGGTCTGTTTCTCATTGGGCCTTACGATGGGATCATCGGAGAATTATTTTGTATGTGTTCGGAAAACATCTCACGTCCAATATTAAAAAAGACACAGAAGCTACTGCTACTAGCTTCAATTACAACTACAGCATAATTCTACATCTATTTGTTTCCCTGGATAAAATCAAACGCCACGCTCCTTGTCTATTTAGTTTTAGTAAATCATAAATCAATGTTATGGCTAGAATGTGTATGGAATCAATCCAGTTATTGGTAGCTTGCAACATAAATTATATTTATCCTTAAAATTGATGAATTTCTGATATCCTATGCAGTAAAGAAAAAAAAAAAAAATCAAAACATAGATTGAGGAAACCTGCTATTGTGTCATGCCAAAGTAACGTAGAAGCTCTCTGCTTACCTCAAACAAATCCTTGAAATTGGAGAACGCGGAAGGTGGACCTAGGGATGCTTGAACGCGTAACGCAAAAGAACTTGGGAGGGCTTGGAGAACTTGAAGGCGGTGGTTTCGAACTGAGGGAACAATGGTGGTTACAGGCTCTAACAACCAACAAACAACATCATACAACAATCACAACAAGTCAGTGTAGTTGGGAAGAGAAGTGGAGGACCAACCTGGTGGTATAGCAGAGACGAGTTGAATAGGAGGGGCGTGCGTCGTTCTCGGCGGCGGCACTTTATCTACCGGTAACGGCGGGGACGGGACAACGGTGGTGGTTTCAAACCCAACTAAAGGGATGGATACTAGAACCCTAGCAAGATAAAAAGAGAGAAATAGTGTATAATTAATTAGCTTATGCAATAACTATTTTTTAATTAAGTTTTATTTTAATTAAAGAAACCAAATGATGGTTAGTTAAAATTACTTATTGTGATATGCAAAAATAAAATAAAATAATTAACTTTATATTTTATTCTCTTAAAATAACTATTTTGGTCTTTAAAATAAAATATAAAATAATAACGTAATTAAGCAAAATATTTTAAATAAACAAATTTCACCGCTAAAAGACACGGAAAATATACATAATATGATTGATTGAATATAGTATGAATAAATTTTAAAATTTTAAATTTAAACTTTATCATAATTATTGTAAAACAATAAAAAATATATTTCAAAAAGTTAATATGATACTTAAAATTCTAAAAATAGATAACTTTAAAGCTTTTGTATATAATATAAAATAGATAACTTTAAGTTTTTGTATATAATATAAATAGGCATCGCAATGGCGGTCGAGTTTTGCCTCTCCGATCCCGTGCTCGACCTTTTTAACTATCATTGTTTCTGTCTTCGATCTCTATTGGGGTTAGAAATTAAGTCTTTATCTCCGTCTCAGTTGGGTTTTGGGTTCTCTATCATCGATCTATATTATTTTTAAAAAGATAATTGCATTTATAATAAATTAATTTTATTATCTATTTTTATATATAAATAAATATTTATAATATTATAATTTATAATTATTATTAATTAAATATACATTTTAATTTATTATATTTATATTAAAATATGTATGTAAAAGAAATATTTAATTATTTTTTATTTATAACATTATTATTATTATAACATTCGTATTCAAATATTTGAATATTTATAACATTATTATTATAATACTGTATTCAAACATTTGATTATATATATAAGTTAATTCATTTTTAAGTTGTCATTTAAAAATATGAAATATATAGTTTATAAGGAAATATTTAATAAGTTAATTATTATTCAATTAGTTCAAAGTAATAAAAGTTTAAATTATCAATTTCTTTGATCCTTTAAAATACAATTATTTTATTAAGATAACATTTGATATATGATAAATAAGAATAATAAGATAAAAAAATATGACATAATAACACCTAATAAATATAAATTATAAATAAAATAATATTAGTTACTACTAATATTTATATAAAATAATTACAAAAAGATAAAGAATAAAAAAATTAACTTTGTGTTCATCAAATTGGTTGAAAAAAAAATTTGATGGGAGAGATTCAGAAATGTGAAAAACCTGAAAGGTAAGAGAAAGAATAATGTAATAAATTAATTGATATAAAAAATTAAAAAAGACAAAAAAATTAAAAAGTTGGTAGAAGAAAAAAAATTGGTAAAATATAAATAGAAAAAAAGAAAATACTTTTAAAATATTAATATTTTAAAATTTAAATTTAAATATAAAGTCGGGGCGGGACGAGGTCGGGGTGGGGATTGCATTACCCATCTCCGCCTCCGACCCCGACTTTTTAAAGCGGGAAAAACATGAACCCGGCCCCGCCCTCAGTTAACTCAGGTTTTTCCCGTCAAATTCGGGACGGAGACGAATCGATCCCAATCGGTCCCACGAATACGGATTTAATAGTGATCCCTAAATATAAAACAGGTAAAAATTTCCTAAACATACTAACGTATAAATGTTTTACTTTCAATCTATATATATATAAAATATATATATATATATATATATATATATATATATATATATATTTAAAAGTCGATGTTAAACATATATATTTATACTTTCAAACAATTTTTGAAAACAAAAGTTTAACATGGACTTCTAAATATAAATATAAATAATTACTCAAAATAATTGTGAGTTAAACGTATTTTCTACTTAGTAATTTAATCTAATTATAATTAGGTTAAGTTATAATGAACCGTTAGGTAATTTTTAAAAAATATTTATTAAAAATATTTTTACTTAATGATTATAATATAAAAATAATATTTTTAATATCTCAAATTTATTATATAATATTTTTTTAAAAATATAATATATTAATTATGATATATTTTAATATATTAATTATGATATATTTTTATCATTTAAATATTTTTATTTAGAAAAAATAAAAGACTAATTTTATCAAATTTCAATATATTATTTTTTATTAAAAAATAAGACGAAATAAGAAAAAAACAAAGGAGGGTGATAAAATAAAATAATAATATTAAACTAAAAAAAACAGAGAGAGAAAAAAACGTAAATAAATGAAGAAAAAGAAAACAAATAATTATATTAAGTGGAATGAATCTATAAATAATACATTTTAAAAGAAAAATTTATCAAATAGAACCTTTATTAATTTATTTATTTGAATAGACTTTTTTTATTGTTCATATGCAATTTTTCTTTCCTCTTTTTGTAATTTTTTTTATATATATTTTTCTTTTCTGATGTCTCTTATTTTCTCTCCTCTCTTTCACTTATATTCTATTTAAACTACTATATTAAAATTGAATAAAAATATATTAATAAATAAATATTTTAAAATATTAACTAATTATTTAAAATTATGATAACAATAAATAATTTTATCTGTTTTGGCAGTAAATAATTAATTCAAAATTATTTTATCATAATAAATAATGATTCATTTAATTTAAAATATAAAATATTTATAAGTTAAATGTATTTTTATTTAATATTTATTCTAGTTATAATTAGACTGAATTATGATAATTACTTAGATTAGGTAATTTAAAAAAAATATTTATTAAAAATTAATTTAAATAATTAATTAATTTTTTCTTAATAATTATAACATAATAATAATAATAGTTGTAATATTTTAAATTTATCTTATAATGTTTTTTAAAATATAATATATTAAATTGGAGTATTTTTGAATCATTCAAATATTTTTTTGTAATTATAAAATACTCACTTTATCAAATTTCAATCTACTATTTTTAATTGAAGAATAAGATTAAATGAGTGAAGAACAAAAGAGGAGAAAAGAAAAGAAAAAACTAGATGGACATAGAAAAAAAATAAGAAGTAGATGGAAAAGAAAAAAAATAAAAAAATAAATGAAAAAAGAGAGGAAAATAATTATATTATGTCTCACAAACTTATTTCCCTTAATTGAATTTTATGGATAAATAGTAAATGGGTATAATTGAATAAATAAATTTAAAAACTTTCTATTTAAATAAATTTCTTTTTAAATATATTATATATAGAATTGATTCATATTATGTCATATGAACTTATTTCTCATCGTTAGATTTTATGTATAAATAAGAAATAGGTATAATTGAATAAATAAACTTAAAAAGATTTTATTTAAATATGTTTAAAAAAATATAATTTATGAAATTGATTAAAAAAAATAAAAATTAAGGAAGAATGCCTTGATATTAAAAGTTGATCTTAATAAGGAAGCTTTTCATCTTGACCCTTTATTTCTTTTTTTTTTGAAATAATATTTTGATAACTTAAAATTTATACTAACAATCCAAATATAAAAAAATACAACATAAAAATTATTATTATAAAAAAGTTATTAAAAAGTTAATCCTTTTTTTATCATCAACATAAATTATATATATATATATATATATAAATTTATGTTAACGATAATATTATACTCTAAATTTAACTTACAGTCATAAGTGATGGAATAAAATATTATATTATTTTTTTATTAGTTCTTAAAGGTAAACATTATTATATTATTATCTTACAATATTGAGGAGTTTAATAAGAGGTTGGTATTGAATCTATTTTATGACATAAATAAGTGTTCTAATATTTAATAAAAAATATTTTAATCTTTTATTATTAAATTAAAATATTTAATTTAAATAAAATATTTAATTTAAGTAAAATATTATTACATTATTAGTTAGCACTAAAATAATATAAATATTAATAAATTGAAATGTTTGGTGAAAGAAAAGTTGAAATGAAAGTTGATGATTTAGTCAATGGAGTTTCAAGTGCTAAAATCTAGCAACAATAATAAAAGAACTAATCTATTTATAACCTTAAAAGAATATATGAAAGGATCTTAGTGTCGGTGATTTCCTGTTTGACAGGAAAAGGGATTTTCTATTGATAAGAAAAGGGGTTTCCTAGTTCATAGAAAAAAAAGTACTTTTTGAAATGTTATAAATAAATCTTTGAAATATAACTTGGAAAAATGAAAAATGTAACCATTCTTTCCCCTTCACAAGCACCAAAAAAGATTGTTTAGGATTTTTTTACAAAAGAGTTGAAAACAATGATTGGTTTCAGTATAAATATTCATATATAATTTGAAAAAATATATTGAAAATTCAAGTAATAACATCCTTTACAATTTTTCAAGTATATTTTAGACATAAAAATAGATACTCTGTTCACTGCAAGTGTTATGAACACTTCCTTTTCCTTCATGATGAGTAAAAAGAAGTGTGTCGTGGAGAATTAGTTATGATAGTTAAAATATTAATGAGTTAATTAATTAGAGGGATAGGTAGATATAAAAAGGGGGAAAGTTGATAGGATAGGTTCAGATCTATTTAATTATTTGTTAAAGGAGAAATAATTTGGGAAGAGAAAACTTTGAAAGAGAGTGCTCCCATATATATATATTTTTTTTAATTCATGGTTCTAACAAATATCTGCACAAGATAGAGATAAAAGAGAAGTCAAGGAATAAATTCTCTTGAAAGCATATAAAAAGAATAAACTGTATATGAGATTTTCAATAAGGTGCTTCAATCTTATACAAGACACAAATAAAACCTGCCTATACAAAGGGAAATAACAGGTGAAAAAGCACCAACCCACTGTAATGGGATATGAATCAATTTTGGAAGCTATAATAACTACAAAATTAGTATTATAATAGAATAAGTATTATCATAAGAAGTGTGCTAGGAACTTTGTGCTAAGATTGAATTCATTGAAGTGCAAAGATTCCCGCAGTTGAGGCATCTTAATTGCAAAAAGTGATCTGTATATGGAAGTCAACACCGCGGCTTGTGTAGGCGAGGTCTGTTGCAGAAAACGCGACCATTGGCCTTCACAAATGCTGCTATCCCAACACTAATGCTTGCCCACAATAGTGAGAAGAACAAGTGCCTAAAATCATATCTAACTGCAGAAATTAATTAATGAATGTCACTTGAAAAGCCATGTCAGACATCTGCTACTAGTTTCAATAACATAGCACTTTGATTGTCAATTTGTCACCACTTTACCATAAGTTGTAACGAGTTCATCTTTTTATAACAAATTTTTAATTAGCACATATACCTGTGTGGATCGCACAGAAATTCTCATAAAATTTCAGATAATGTTTTTGCTTTAATTGTCTAGAACTAGGCAGTTTAGCAGTGGAGGACCACAAGATATCTAACTACTTTAAGTTATGCCATTAAACCTGCTGTTTCGCTTGAAAAACATCATACAAAGCAAAGACCAGGATATTGCGGATGTTTGGGAAAACTTTTTATGGAGGATTTTTTTTTTTCAAAAGCTAACTAAAAAAGCGGCATACTAATAACTAGTTCAAAAATAAGTTGAACCAAACATGCACATTTAACCATCAAAATGTAGTGAAACATTATTCTCTAAAGTAATGAAAACTCTTGTTTTTATAACTGAGTGTCTTCATCTGGTTAGAGTACCAGGGGGCAGAAAGAAAGGAGTTGATGGAAACAGGAAGCAAGAATGAACGGATTCCTCAATTTTCATCTGTTGAACAAAAGGGAAAGTGGGACCAATATCACCACGGATCCACCATTTTGCCCGTATCTCTAAGAAAATGAATAGAGAAATATAATGCTAATTACTATTGTTTCCAATAGTCCACCTTCTATTTGATTTTCTAGTCATAATCATAAACAGAGTTTTTTGTTTTGTCCTCCTTCAGCCATCTCTCACTTGACAAAAATCTCAACCCTGATTTCAATTTGTTTAACTACGTGACTGGGTGATTTGGCGACACACAAAAATCAATTTGTTTGGCATGCTGCAAAATATTTCTTAGGTTTAATTACTATAAAGACTAAATGAATAATTAAACCATATTTGTTAGGCAGCTAGCATCAACTTATGCCAAAATAGTCGTTACATCCCTACTATAGCATAGAACAAAGCAGATCTCACATGACCAATCACGGTGTAAGTATATGGTTCTCAATATGCGTCTCAGTAGTTTCAGAAAGCATAAATTATTCTTACACAAAACTGATGTGAAACGTTGTAATGTTTTGATGGGCTATGGATTAAGTATAATAAACAGTTAAGTAATTTTATGTTGAAAGAAAAAAATGTGATATAGGAAAAATTATAATATGTGAAGTTATTAGGATTATGGATCTTGAAACTACATGTTAGCAAATCACCAGGAGTATTCATTAGTAGTTTAGCTTAAGAATGTTTTAAATTTTTATTTACAGGCTACTGAATGTAACTTGTGAGAGGGGGTTCTAATTCTATTCTTGTGGTATATAGTTCACTCGTCTAAGGATGGAAATGTTCTGAACCTTAAAAAGAACATTAAAAGAAAGGTGGTTAAGCCATACTAAGAGGGGATTCCATTTCTATTCTTGCGACATAGTTCACTCATCTAAGGATCGAAACTGTTCTGTGAGCCTTAAAATAAGAACATTAAAAGAAAGGTGGTTTATAAGCCATAGGTTTCTCAACAGTATATATGTGGGTCAGTAGGCGCACGCAGTTAAAAGGTTTTAGTTTAGACTGTAGGTGTACTGTGTATGCTTTAAGCTAAAATAACAAAAGTTAAATCACCTTGCGTCAACGACATGAATGTGAAAAAGAACCCAGTCAAAACCAAACCCAAAGCCAGAGGAAATGACTGCAATGATAAACAAAGAGATATTAATATTTCAAAATGCAAATCAAGTTCTTCAAGCAATCCAATGATTAGAAGCATACCACTAAAAAATTAATGGAATGAAAAATAATCATATTAGACCTTCAACACAAGCTAACGCAGTAACGCATCCAACTACATAATTACTTTCCTATTCTCTTGTTTTCTTCAATCCACTTCCTCTTAATAAGAAATACAAGTGATGGGACACGAAATTTCTATTATCGCTGTTCTCAAATTTCTTTGACTGAGTAACTCAATTAAAACTTAACAACGGATGTACTATAAGGTCTCCTGTGTTATTTGTGCCTGAGAAATGTTTGTTAGCCCTTGTGTGTTATCGTGTTTTAAATACTGTTAAAAGTCTTGCATGGAGAATATGACAAAAATATTTGTTATAAAACCTAAACAATCTTTCTGCCTTAAATAGTTTTGAGGATAATTTTATTAAAACAACTAGTTTTTGAGGTTTAGCCTTTGATCATTTTTAATAAATAAAATTTCTGTTTTGAAGTTTGGCCCGCTGAAACCTGCATGATATCACTATTCCAAAATGTTGAGAATAAGGTTAGATTAAACATTAAAAAAAATACTATAAGATTGGATATTATTATAACGTAAATAAAGTGATAGCAAAAATAATCAAAAAGCCCATTTATATTAAACATACGAATCTACTTCTAATTAAATAAAGAAATAAATCAAGAAAATAATTTTAGATTCTCTTACACGCCTATTCAAAATAAAATTAACATACTAAACTTTTAAGTTGTTACGAGAAAACAATAGTTGCAATTGGTATGGGTTAGGTCGTTGGAAAAAGTCACCGGCGTAGTTTAGGTCACCGGCAGGTCCTTGGTGTGGTTTAGGTTTCCATAGCAGTTTAAGAAAATAAACTTTGAGAAGGATAAGACAAATTTCAGGGTTGAACAGAGAGTTAGGGGATATTTTGAATTTTATTGATTGAAAATGAGTCAAATTACAAAAGAAAAAAAAAGGTTGTTTGAAAAGTTTTTTTTTTTTTTTTTCATGGATGTCACGAAATAGGGCGGTTTTATTTTATGGAAGTATAGTTGAATGACATTAGTAAAAAAAAAAAAATTAAAGAAAGAAGAGAAGAGTTAATTCTTATCTTATGGAGATTTATATCCATTCTGTATACCATAAATCAAAATTAAATATTTTAACACACATCAATTAACTAAAAGTTTATTGGTCTTAAGTGAATTTCATAGTTTTATCCTCATAATTCTATGAACAAACTTAAAACTAGAACAAACTTAAAACTAGATGGATTGTTAAAGACTATTATTAATAACATGGATATGATTTTTCATATACTTTTGCTTCGATAGTAAGTTATAATACATTCGGATTGCTAGTTGAATTGGTAATAAAAAGAGGTTGAAAAATTTATCATTTTAATGTGAAATTAATTTAAATGGTTTGCTTGAACAGGACATGTGTTAAATAACCTAAATGATTTACTGTTTCAGGTGATGAAAACAAAGTCTACAAATTTCAAAAAGTTTTTTATAAATTCATGAAAGTTACCAATTACATGATATAACATAATTGACAATTATCTTCTACACAATGGGTTTAAAAGTTAAAATGAAACTACTTTATAAGAAAAAAAAGTCAAGCAAAAAAGTGCAACTTGTGGTCTTGTGTGTCACTTAATAAATGGATAATAATTCAGACTCTTTGAGAAAAATTTAAACATATAAGAAAATTAAATTTGAAATCACCAGTTAAGAGAAATTAATTATTTTTTTTAGTATGGGGATAACAATGCAAGAATATTCATTTCACAAAGAAAATGAATATAAAACAACAAATGCACCCGTTGTTATAAATGAGAAATTTTCACTAAATCATGTTAATATAAAAATAGATTATTTTGTTTATAGATATTTAATTAGAAGTTCATTATATCTTTTAGCCACAGACATAATACTTGATACAAGTTTGTTGTTCAAATTTATGTAATATCTTTTTTCAAGTTCATTGTTATACAGCAAAATGAGTATTAAGTACAATTGATTATGATTTATGTTTTTTTTAGGATGAGAGTGAATATCTTCAAGGACATGCACATAAAAATCGGATATGAAGTTTAGATGATGTCAATAGAATTTTAGGTTATGGTTTTTTATATAATAGTGATGGTTTCTCTCGAAATTCAAAGAAATAAGAGGTGGTGACTCAATATACTACTAAAGTTAAGTATATTTTGACAGTAATATTTGTAAACGAAGTCTTTTGACACAAAGAAATTGTATATGATATAAGACAACTACAAAATGAATCTATTATCATATAAGTGGATAACAAGTTAATTATCACAATGATAAATAATATTATCAATACGGTGAAACTAAACATGTCAAGATGAAATATCATGTTATTATAAAAACTAAGAAATTAAGAAAATTAACTTGAAACATTACAATTAAAAATAAAAGGTCAAATTGTAGACATCATGACTACAACCCTTTCCAAGAACACATTTAAATTGTTGATATCAAAACTTGAAATATCCAAGAAAAATATCAATAATGAGTGTTAGGAATTAAGAATTTTCTAATTACTTTATATCAATATTTTTTGTGTTGCTATGTTTTATTAAGTTGAAGGCAGTGATACTACGAGAGAGTTGTTTGTGTAGTAAGTGATTAAGTAGAAAAGAGTGTTAATCCGTGTTTTGCGGATATTTATTGTTCTTTTGGGTACAACTAATAAAAAAAGTTTGTGGTTTATCTTTTTTGTAATATAATTGCACAAAAATAAACATAATAATACTTTTCTCCCTTCTCCTTTGAGCAACTTCCTAGACTTTTTCATTGAGTTTTTCTTCGTACACATACCTAGGGTACAAAGGTTGACATAAGCTTGAATTTTGTGATTTTCAATACCCATCGTCAATCGTATTGTGATGCTACATATTAGTTAGTTATCCATTAGATCCAAATGATCTACTGCGAGAACACATTTCAAACATATCTTTCACTATTAATGTAGTGAGTTAGTTCCTTCACATCATTTCTCCAAACTTGGTGATTTGTACCCTTACTCATATAACTATTTTAATTATATCTTTACTCGACCTAATCTTCAACAAAGTTAATTGTTATTGTTAGATTGAAAAATGACTCTCACTAGTGTGAACTCATGGTTGGAACAACACTTAAAGGAATTTAGATTTTGAAATTGGACCATCCATTTAATTTGTAATAATCAAGTAGACTTCATATCCATTCTTCCAAGTATGCTTATAGAAATCATATATCATTTCTTCAATGAAAAATATATTAAAAAAAATCACTACTTCATTTATAAGTTCTAATGATAAAGTGGTAGATGTTATTATGATATGCTTGAAATAGTAATTAGTTTCAAGGAATATTTTTGAAGTTTAATATTCTATCAAGAACATTGATATACTTATAACTTTTTTTTTTCAAATATTTATTCTAGAACTCCTATTTAATATTAATGTAATATCAATAAACATAAAAAAAAGTTGTCAAATATACTATTTTGTTTTTTAGGAAACCCTTTCTTGTATTTATTCATTCTCATAAATAACACATTCTCAATAGTTTTTTTATGCATATAATCCTAAGTATGCTGAGGGATGTAGACTATCACTAGAAAACTTATATTTCAGCTAATTAAAAGTATAATTAGAATTAGTTTAGCCATATTTTAAAGACAAGTTAACATTTATTTATATTATATTATATTTCCAATGACTATTCCAAAATAAAAAAGCTTTAGTCTAGAAACTATTTAATATCAAAATTGAACTCACAGCAATAGCTTCAATGCCTTGATTCTGAGGAGTCGAATCTCGGTTGCCAGAAACTATGAAATGTCCTTGCAAGAGATCAATAGCATCCTTCACATAAACAAAAAAAACCATGAACACGGTAAATTACTTACAAATACAATTTTGATTTCCTTAAATCCACAGAAAGAACTAAATATATTTGATCTACAGAAGCCTAGATAAAGTTTCGTTTTATGATAACAACTACATGAAAAATAATAATTGCCAATAGTACAATTACTACATATAGAAGCAAAACCTAAATAGGACTTAAAATGGGCATGTCAAAATAAATTCAAACATAAGAAGGACGCCGTATTCGAATGTACATGATAATAAGTGATGACAGCATGCACCTACGAAAATGCACATAATGAGATAAGATCCAGAAACCTGCTTTGTTCCATCACAAAAGTTATTCAAATAATAGCGCATAAGAGCATTCCAACCATCATTTATTATGCCCTGAAACGTGCGATGCCCAAATCTGAATCCAAACAAAGCCTTAATGAGGAGGAGGTACAAGGTTAACTTTTAAACTTGGTAGCATCATTTTTTAAAATTATAAGAAATTGTTACATCATATAGCTATCATTTTTGTCTATAAACTTTATCAGATAGATACTTAGGGAAGTTATTTAATATCGAAGTATAAATTGCTTCAATGACTCATTCAAACTTGCATGCAGAGAATTCAAGCACACAGAAAGTTTATTTATGAACACCTAAACATGTGAAGAATCCTCTAGGATTTTAGTCAAGTTCCTATAAAAAAAATACCCAATAAAACGTTATTGAAAGATATAAAACTGCTTTTGACTTACAATGATATGAACTGATTCCAAGTCCGCATCAATAAATTTCCTAATACAACTTAAAATGTCGCACGCTTCTCCTTTACACAATGTAATTAAAGCTAATATATAATTTGTGATTTTGAAATTATCCCTATGCTAACGTAATTTCAACATAAAATAATATTTTGTGGATGCATCATTTCTCTTTAGTTTTTTTTACATGTGATGAACAAGGAAACTGATGGAAAAATTGATGGGAAAATACCGGACAAAGTCTCCTTTGAGAGCAGGAGTTCCTGTATATTGAGTACTTATATCATCTCCATGATCAGCCCACACTAATAATGGAGAATCAGTCAGAACAGATTCTAGATTTGAAATCCTATGAAACAATCTAAACAAGAGAAGAATGTATGAAATGAAAATAACTAGATAATGCATATATTAATACTGGAAAGATGTGTAACTTGAAAATTAATAATACACGTACAGATCTTATATTTTTCATCTAGATTTGGATGTGAACTAATGGTTTCCTCAGCACCAAAGATCCCAATTCTTCTAAGCTGGAATTCTAGCATATTTCGGCCTATCATGCTCTGCATATGTGTAATAAAAATTATAAGAGAAAATGATGCTATAAATGCACACGTATGCATGTGTAGCTCAATTGAAAAAAGAAAAAAAAAAAATTTGTAAGTAGTTAAAGATGTTGAGTGCATGTACAAACTAAGCAGCAAGTAAAAAATGATAATACAGAAGGAAAAGCGTTCAAAAAGAGAGAAAGAAAGTTGGAACATATTTTATTCATTTGTATAAACCAACCAACCTGATAGTAAGGCTTAAAAAACTTGCATTGATAAACCTACCAACCTGAGTAACATTTGTGCGGTCTAGACAATCAATACAATTGGTTCTAACAACCCCAAGTTGCTCCTTCATTTTCTCTCCCTTTTCATTCAATAGAAGATATCTACAATTTCAAAACAGAATCGTAACAGAGGGATCAAAATTCTGCAGCCCTTTAACTAATGCTGAGTAAAAAGGATTGATTACAAATATAGAAAGGAAGGACAGTTTTTCAGCTAGACAACAAATTACACTATGTTTGATAATTATACAAAATCTTATAACAAACAGCTCCACAATATGCAAAATAATAGAACTACAAATTTGTTGAACCCTACTCGAGCAAAAGCAGGCAATGAATGTAAATCAAATTATTGAATAAACTCTTAAGAAAATTATGTCTAGATGATTAAAGACTTAAAAAAATAAAAATCTCATACCCATTTCTCTCAACAAAATCAGATATTTGATCATAGAGGATTGAGAGACGATCGAAATGAATGTGCCCGCAAATGTGATGGAAATCGAAATGCAGATATCTACAAAAATGAAAAAGGTTTGCACCGATATCAAATAAAACACGTAATAATATATATATATATATATATATATATATATATATATATATATATATATATAGTCAATTGAAAGGGACTCCTACCTGACATCATTACCAGATACATGTTGCATTGTTTTTCCAAATTGTTCACATAGCCGCCCTTCTCCTCCATGCTATTAAGAAAACACGGAGAGAAGAAAGTACACTCAATAGAAGCATGCTGATACATAAATCTATCCATTTTAACACAACATATACTTAGGACATGCACAACATTATATAATGATAGTATTTGATTGGTACCATATAATTGGCAACATACAATTTCTATAGTTACTTTTAAGGCTCAGTAACCAATTGTAGACACTAGAATGACCTTCATCAGATAAACATTTTAAGTTTTTTGCAATGGAAGAATATTCACCTCGTTAACTAGATCAATAGCTAACACAGACCCATACTTTTTTCTTAAATCTAAGAAATGCCTCTCCAAGACTCGGGGCTGCACAATAAGAAATAAAACAATAGTCAAATGCATATAGATTATCAAATGATAACCTCAAGAAATACAACAATAAAATAACCACTTACAGCTTCGTCACGTTTCAATATTTCATACTTAGGTTTATATGTTAAGTCAACAATTTGCTGCCAAGGCACCGGAATTGAACCACGAACCTGCAAATTATAAACAAATGATATAATTCAACTTATATCTAGCTTCTATATAATGGATATCTAACTTATATCAAGAATAATATAATCCAACTTGTTTCATGAAGTAAAAGTATCACAAGCTCAAATATAAATGCAATAGTAAGGAAAACGTACATCAATACGAATAAAAATATATAATAAGAATTTCAAGGCATAATATATTTGTGAGGGTTCATGGCTGGTTAAAAAAATTGAAAAGGAAATGACTTGAAAATGAGACACCAAGAGAGAGGACTTCAAGCCAAGGGCTAATAAAAGAGTGGGAATTGTAAGCAATGGATTGGGTTCAGTGGGTTATTTATTGTTGAAGAGAGTCAGCTGTGAGGGAACTACATTGCTTCTTGGTGTTCTTTTTATCAAAAGAATAGGAATGCCAAGTTGAACTTCTAAATCTCGACCACTTGGTTCAGTCTTTAGTTCGTTCAATTCAATAAGATTCATCCGGCAGTTAAGTCAGCAGCAAAACTCCGATTTTGTGTCATCGATTATGAAAATTTCAACAAAGATAATTTACTATAAAACATAGATGTACTTTTTTTGTAATCCGGTTTAGCATCAATAGTATTACTGTTACACTTCATTTTTGAAGAATTTGTAGATAATATTACGAAATGGTGCATATGTAAAATATTGTCCTGGTTTTTACTCTAAAATCAAACTACCAAGCAAGCATGATACATTAGAGCTGTGTTATTCAAACAACTCATACAAAATTTATAAGATAATATATTTTTCTTTACCTATCTCCATCACTGCACCTATCACGTTATATATATTCTTTCTTCCTTTCATTTTTTTTCTCATCTTATTATTGTAAAATTTGATGTACAATTTATTCTATAAATAAGTAATTCATTACTTAACAAAAGGTTATTGTTAAAAAAGAGGAAACACAAATAAATTATAATGAAACCTTATATATTTGAATAAACTACGAAAACTTGTTTACGCAGACATTATTACATTGATTGAATATAATTAGAGGATTTTTTTTTCTTCTAAATCAGATATTATTTTCCGGTCCACTTTACAGTAAATGTATTTTATTTTATTATAATTTTTAACAGTTACCAAAGATTATTTTTCTTGCCCTTTTGATAACAATTGTTTATTTATTAGCTGGTCGAACGCCTCACATCTGAATTGTTAGTTTACTATAAATAACTTGAAATAAAACATCAACAAGTATTAATTCAACCGAGAATGCAGTTTGACCAAAAAAACTAAGAATTATTTGAAATAGTTATAGCTCTTTATCATTTGAAAAAGGATTAATAAATAAATTAAATAAAATCAAGAAAATCATTGTCATGCATGCAGCATGCAATTTCCGCATAAGAATACAAAACATTACCTGAACAATTGATCCTGTATACCCATTGATCTGCATAATTTGCTCTGTTTCCACAAAATTAGCCACATATCCATCAGGATCAGCTCCTCTTCTCCACATCCGGGTTCCTTTTAGGAAATGAATTGTGTTGCATCATCAGCCAATCAATTAATGACACTACTTCAGCCCAATCTATTGGAATTTTTTTGTACAGTACTAGGCGATTACATAACAGATTAATAGTAATCTTATCAATGACACATGCTTAATGAAAGCAGACAGAGGTTCCATTGCCAATATAAGCTCTCATTGTATCACTATGTAAATATTGCAATGCTGAAATATATAAAGTCAGTTTTACTCAGTCTGATTCCGGTTTTAGGCTGAGTTTTATAAACTCTTCCAAATGAAATATTTCATTATAATACATTATACAGTCCTACACTATATTAAATGTCTGAAATACTAAATTCATTTCTTTCATTCTCTTATTAACTAACCTTCAAAAAGAATAAGGTAGCTTACTTTTGTTCATTTTCCTTCTCTTTCCAATCCATTTCACTGATTTCATATTGTTCCATTAATATAAAGGCATACATGGACAACATCAATCTTCTCTGCTGAAGTCATGCTTCCATGACTAAATTTATTGTGGTGTTAGAATCCTCAGAATAGACAAGAATAAGATATTTCCTCATACAGACAGAATTAAATGTTTTATTGTGAAAATAGGCAGGATGTCTCGTTTTATATTAACCCTAAACATTGAAATTAATTATGTATGCAATAGTTTAGGAATTTCCTTAATTAGACCTTTCGAATTCTATATAAGAGAATTTTCTCTTCTAATCATCAAAAACTTTTTCTGAAAGGGAATCCAACCTCCAAAATCCTTGGAAGCCTGTGTAGTCTCGTGACTTGCACTGTAACAAGTTTCTTCCTCCTGTCTTTCATTGTTATCCTTCTTGGCTTGCAATGCCAAACTCATTTAAAACCCCAAAATCTGGAAAATAAAACTATGCTCTAAAGGTCCCTATCTTGTCAGAAAAATTAGGTATTGCCGATTTAACCCCCAGCCTGTGTCGCAATGAAAAAAACAAACATTTCTAAAAGGGAAGGGCGAATTTGGCCTTCTCATGAACAGAACCCTGAAATCATCAGATCCCAAGTTTACAACATAGGACAAGGCGGATGCAGTCATGGTTGTGGAACTCCATGGCTCCGGACGTCAGCTATGCTTCAATTTTTATGAAGATAGCTAAGGAAGTATGAGGCAACTGTAAAGAAAATTATTCTAAAGGATTATGATGCCCCCAATTCTAAGAGATTAAATAAGGGTCACTTCTACAAAAATGGACTATTCACTTTGTGAGTATGCCCCGAGCTACAAAATTCGTGGCAGGAGTTAGACAACTATAGGGGCGCTTTGAAGCAAGATGTACTAAAGATGCAAAACTTCTCAACACAAGTTCGTGGTAGTATTAAATGGTGAGTTCAACCATGTTAGAATTCAAGTACGTGGGAAGGCCTATCCTCGCCCAACGATAAAATGGTTGTATTTTTGAGCAAATGAAACTCGTAGAGGAGTAATAATCTCGTTGAACTAGAAGTTTTCCTTGATTGCACAAACTAAGGGAAATAAGAATATAAGATGCATCAGCCTCCTTCTGTTTTTCCTCTTGGATCACAAGAGAGAAAACGTTGGTGATGGGAGGGAATGATACCATAGAAGGGATTTGTCCACAGAGAAAGAATCATTCAAACAAACCCATCAATAAATGGATTCTACCATAGAAGGGATTTCCTCTGATTTCATTGATCTCACAAGAGGTTTATATAACAAAAAACTATATCGATCTATTGTTACAACGAAATGGTAACTGAACTATAGCTCAATTAATTATTACTATAGAATAGCAATTGAACTAACAACATAATCAGTTGTCTTACTGGTTAGGTTAGGGGTAGAAACAATATCATGAGTAGGATTAGTATCTAGTGAGCTTAGAGAAACCCCGGACAAAATAAATAGTAACTCAACTATCAATCTCTAAGGTTGGTAGTTCACTCAACTTGGCAATGGAGCAAGAGGATGGAGATTCCTCAGGGACAGATAATGTTTCCTTATGGTGCACCTACCGTAAGCCTTGACACAGAAGGAAAAAGTGCAGGAGACTTCATGGTCCATACATCTCGCATTCATTCAAACAATCTCTACACAACTTAAACTAATAATAATAATAATAATAATAATAATAATAATAATAATAATAAATATTTATATTTGTTATTATTATTATTATTATTATTATTATTATTATTATTATCATAATTAGATAGATGTTTCAGACATGCAACCTGTCAAAAAAAAAATTTCCTAGAATTTAATAAAAGAAATTAAGAAACTAAAGGACTTATTGGGGCATTGATTAGCATTCCATATCTTAAACGGAAATGCTGCATTGAGACCCAACATCTCACCAATAATTCTTTATACTAATATAATAATAATAATCATATTTATTATTATATTAATATCCTTATTGTTAATTGATGATAAGAATGGTCATTGCACTATCCTAAATTCACCTGAAGAAGTGACAACCGACATGAACGTATATATTTTATGAGATTTTAGGATTGTAATATATATTCAGATATTTTTTATCAAATAGTTTTTTTTAGTAATATCCAATCATTTATTTGAATTCCTAAATTATCTCATATTTTTTTATCTTAAATTTCTTTTAAAAATTTTATATCTTTCCAAAGAAAAAATTGATAATAAAAAACAAATAAAGGTGAAATATACTAGAATAATTATAATTAAAAGTAATTTAAGTATTGAATTAATTTTTAATGTCTTTATAAGATTAACTAAAATTTGTTAAAATATTGTTCAATAGTTAATAAAAAGTTATAAAATATTTTTTTAATATAAATTTTGTATGATTAAAAAATAAATATTCAATAATTTGTTTAAATATTCCTAAATTATCCTTTGCTCTTTTATCTTTTACATCTCAAATTTCTTTTAAAATTTTCATATCTCAAATATGTTATTTTTAAAATAAAAATTGGCAATAATAAATAAATAAATATAAAATATAGGAGAACTATTATAATTAAAAGTTATTTAAATGCTAAATTAACTTTAATATCTTATATATTTATGAGATTAATCAAAATTTATTAAGTATTATTTTATTATTAGTGAAAAATTATAAAATATTTTTAATATAAATTTTGTGTGATTAAAAATATAAACAACTTTAAAAATATTTAAAATTTTAAAATATAATATTTTACTTTAAATATAATGAATGAATATATATTATATTAAAAAAGAATTTTATTTATAAGATATTGTAAAAGAAAAATAAGATAATAAACTTCAACGAAATGTAATTCAAGTACAAACAATAAGTTTTATTACTTTTACTCTCACTCTCTCTCTCTCTCTCTCTCTCTCTCTATATATATATATATATATATATATATGAATGAACTATATCCCTATTTTCTAGCTGTAGAATCTTTCAATGTTTTCGTATTTACCTATAATCAAATTATTAGACCATAGCTCGTTTTCTACTTTCTATAAAGAACTACTACCAAATCTAACGTTTTACAACTTGGTGATACATATGCTATAAATATGTATGATGTAATGCAATATGCATCAAATTAGCGACTTTATTTAACATGACAAAAAGGTTGATTTTCTAAATGGTAAACAAAGCACATGCAAAAGCTTCCAAAGTTCAAAGATAACCAAGAAACAGATACAAATTCATAAAAAAAATATTAAATACCATTTCTTCTGGTGCATCTCCTGGCAATTAAAGTGATGTCAATAATATCTTTCCCAATAGCAGATTGAAAGTGATGAAAGCCTAATGATTTGTTAAGGATAAATTAAAAATAAATAGTTAAGTGTCTGACATTTAACACTGTAACTAGTCAAATTAAATAAATTAGTAACCCAAACAAAAATTAATTATCAAATAAAAACAATAAAAAAATAGGAATTGATATGTATAACGACGAGAAAAGGATACTGCCTTGGACAATAGGGAGTAAGTATGGGTCAAGCTGCATGCACAGAATTAAACATTACTCCAACAATTGGTTTCACCCAATTAATTACTTGGTAATATAAGACTGCATAAGCAATCAAGAAACCAAAAAAATGTGATTAAATTTAATAGAAGCCAACCTTGTTTTCTATGAGCACTTCTAACAGATAATTATTCCATAGAAATCGAGGCTCTGCCTGTGATAAAGCATTAACATAAGCAAAAAAATAGAAAATACGAAAACAAGTTAGAAAATCAGATTGAATATAAATCCAAAGTGGACATTGTTTGCATTTATACATCGAGAGAAGAGAACTAAGGGTAGTAAAGTAACAAACTTTAAAAGAGTTTTTTTTTTTTTTTTGTCTCGATTAATTATGGGATCCACACTCTTGTAGTAAAATTCTTCTACAACAGATGACTAAGAGAGATACATAAGGCAATGCATTACCTGTCTCCAGAGGGGAAGCAACTTAGACTCATCATCACCAAGGTCATTTAGTTTTTGGGTACTGCAGCACATAATATTAGAACCATATCAATAAATCTTGCAATCAATTTTTTTTTCTTTCAATCACAAACATATCAAGTATTTTTTACCATATTATAGGTATACAACATATTGTAAATGATTAAATTCTGTAGAAAATTAATTAACCCGTTTTTTTTTAGAATCTTCACTTCCAATTATATATATTTTTTATTTCAATAATTCTGAGAATTTATTTAAGAGATTTATTCTAGTTTCGTTCAAACCAACATAATTTTTATATTTTAATTATGCATCTAACTGTATTGTAAACATTTCTCACCTTCAAGATTTATTATTCATCAAAGTCAATTTACTTTTAATGCATTCGTATCTTATTATTTCACCTAATAACCATCCCTAATTATGAATTGAATAATTTATATACCCTTCCTTCTCAATATTCAAATAATTTATTTCATTAAATGATTTAATTTCTTTACTTTTAGATTTTATTTTATAAATTATTTTAAACTCCATCTATGTTATACACATTGAATAAACATAAGACCACACTATCCTTTTTAACTAAAATTTCTCTTTCTAATACTTTCACCAAATTATCTGGTCTTCTCGTTTTAGATATTCTATATATTAATAATTACTATATATAATTTACGATTTTATGTATAGAGAGAGGGACTAGCACTTTGTTGGTTGATCCAAGTGAATTTCTATCATACATTTATATAAAATTTCAAATTCGAATCGTTATAGATACAAAACGGTTTAATTATGCAAAAAAAAAAAACTCTTTAAAATTTTATGAAAATTTTAGTTTAAATTTATGTATTTATTAAAATAATTTAGCTATTATTATTATTATAATTTTATTTAATTAAGTAATTAAATTTGATTTCTGTACTTTTAGTTATAGTAAATGAAAACTTCATCCCAAATCCTATTATAAACTCCCTGCCAAATCCTTTTAGTTATATAATTATTAAAGAAAATAAATCGATATCCTAAATGCAATAGTAAATATTTCCTCTCAAACTAAAAACTTTAAATAAAAGTGTCAATATGGGTATATTTTTATATAGCATGACGTTTTGTTTTTTTATTAATAGTTTAAGATGTTATTTGAAGTTTCTACGAACTATAATAAGCAAATTTTTCAAATTGCATTATTTAAAAAAAAAGTTATAAATTTCATTTTTAAATAGTTTTTACTTCTAACTAAATATCCTTAAAATAGTTGTCAAATTATCCCCAAGATTGAGATAGTGATTTTTTTTTTATAAACTACATATATCTTATACTGGGCATAGTTTTTCACTAATCGGGCCACTGTTAATTTTCTAGTCAAGATTATCCTGGTTGAGGTTTGTCCTTGAAGTGGAGAATCTAGCAATATATTTTACTAATTTTCTCCTAGAAAACGAAAAAAAAAAATCCTTATAATGATTGGAAGAATTTGATATGAAAAAAAAAAAAGAGTACTCAAATTCTCCCGGTAAAAAAAATTATCATGAATCTAACTACAGTTCGAATGATGGAAGAATTTGATATGAAAAAAAGGAGAGACTCTAATTGAAAGATATCTAAATCATTACTAAAATTGATATCTCATTTAAAAAGAAAGATATAATTTGAAATAGAAACAAATAAAGATAAAATTCTTTCTCAGAATGATTGGTTTGTTAAACGGGCTTTTTGTTTCATTACTAATTTTATCCATGAAAAAAAGAATAAGTTTACTATGGATCTTGGAGTGGAGGGAAGGGATTATCAAAGAAAAAAGATATAAGAATAAAAAAAATAGAGAGAAAATAATAATTGTGGTAATATATATATATATATATATATATATATATATATATATATATATATATATATATATATAATGAATTAGAAATCAGATGTATTTGAGGAATGCTATTTTCAAGCAAATATTTTTCTCCGTGAAACAAAAAAGAAGTTTTCATTAGATCTTGGAGTGGATGAAAAAGACTATTAAAGAAAAAAAAATAGGAATAAACAAAAATAAAAGTAAAGAGAAATAAAAATTATGATAAAAAATAATTGTGATAAAAAAAATGAGAGAAAAATAAAATAAAATGACTTATAGAAATGAAATTGAAGAGAAAATAAACGTAGAGTTACAATAACCATCTTACCTCAAATTGCAACTCTGCAATTTTCACGAGAACTTGAACAATCAAGTAATCATAAAACATTATTTTTAGACAATGGTTTTTAGAATATCTTTTATAATAATAAAATAGATAGAAAAGGAAGTTTACAAAGATAAATGTGGTGATACAAATATAAAATAAAATAAAATACTTCTAATTAAAAATTAAGTAATTTACGACTATATATAATAAAGTCTTTTAGTGAAAATAATTAACTGATAATATAGTAGATTTAAATTAGTTACATTCAAATATAGATAGTGAGTCTAAGTAAAGTACAAGTTTATTAAAAGAGAGAATATAAAATTATACTTTAAATTTTTTCATTAATTATTGATATTCTTTATTTTAAATACTTAAATAACATTTGTAATTTTTTATTTATCTTTCTTACCATATTATATTACCTATAATATCTGTGTTTTTTTAGGGTATCACCTGTTTCATAAATTATTTTTCTAATAATTTTACTTTATTTTCTTGTTATCTCGCTTTTTCCTTCTTTATTTCTTTATCACATCATTATCTATCACAATTTTTTTTATATTTTATTTCTATGTATTCTTTTCCTTCTATCCCAAAATAGAAAAGAAACTGATACGTTCACAACCAATTATTTAAAATATTACCGGTTGAAAATCCGTTTTATTATATAATAATAACATTCAAATGTTATTATTATATAATAAAACGAGGTTAACAATTGCTAATACACCATTTTTCTTTAGTATTTCCGTAATAAAATAAGTTGCTACCCTTAAAATTAGTGAGAGTTTACATTAGTGGGTGGAATGCAGGTTCCTTCCCTGAAACAGAGATGTAATATTGTGCTTCATTGGTGACACCCAAGACTTACGACTATGCTTACTCTAAGCCGAAAACTTTCAAACTTACGTGAATGTCACCTACGCAAGCTGAAGTTCTCAAGCGTGCATGAATACACACTGTAGCCATTAAACAGCAAAGTCTGATGTGATGTTATTATCCTTAATTCCATGATAAAAAAATGTAATATACTAATTAGTGGTAAAAAAATAGTATGTTTTTTAAATTTTAATACGTTTAAAGGTTGAATGATTTCATTCCCGCTTGCTAATCGAGGATTATTTCTCCATGGATATTTATTTATATATGTGAATAAAAAAAAATTCATCTCTTGTTCCCTGAGAATTAGATGCTTGCAGAAAATATCTAGGAATTTACCTGATAGTTAAATTAGCCTCGTATGAGAAGAACAGACCAGTAGTCTTTTCAGCAACATTCAATATCGCAGTAAAATCGATCTCTGACTTCTTCTGACACATTGTACAACGATTGTAAGTTTCAAATCGCTAATTAACATAAAATTAACTAAACAAGGGGAACTGTAGCAACTTACCTGTTCAGGAGGGGTGTTAAAACTGGGGGAACATGGAAAAACCTTGAGAGATGTAACTTTGAAAATTGGATGTCCCAAGTAAGATCCAACGCATTCACGCCCCGTTATAACCAGCAAATAAGATCCTAAAGGCATGTAAATTTGAATACCAAAGTGAGTGGTCAAATGGATGTCTACTATTGAAAAGGAATTCATCCATGCAAGACAGAACCTCAAGTATATAAAGTAAATATGCAAAAGAAATATCATGATCAAAATAAAAGAAGTACTGGCAAATAAAAAAACCAGAGACTTCGAACACTAACTCTGGTAGAAGTAAATGAATCAAAGGTAACTAATCCAAATGTATAACACACTTGGTCATCATCTCCACTGCATATACATTATTTATTTAAAATAATACTAGAAAAAAGAGAGAGAGAAATGCACAATTCACCGTAGCTCCGCTGTGGCTAAGGCTAAGGCTAACACGTTCACTTACCAGCCAAAAGCCTTAACATTCCAGCCACACCATAAATTGTAAAAAGCTTAGGAACTCGAACGGTGCTGCATTCAGGAATCTCATCTATAGAAAACAAAACAAAAACACAAAAAGCAAGCACTCATTCAGTTACGAAGAAAGCACATGACAAACAAAAACGGGAACAAAATATCATCGCAAACAGATTAACAACGAACCAATGAGCTTTATGGAGCCATCTCTTCGACTAACTGCCAAATAAGAACCGGAAGATCCATCTGTTGGTTCAATCACATACTGATTTGGAAATTCCCAAAGGCGCATTCGAGTATATAGCTTCTGTACAGAATCTGCTTTCTCCATCATTATTGGAATTCGCACCACCTGAACACAACACACAATTATTGAAAGATCAAGGAACTAACTACAATAATTTAACGTTAATTTCAAATTCAAATAAGCATCTAGATTAACAGAGGCAACAATCGAGTCAAAATTACTCAAACTAGCCTATAAATATAGAAGAACAAGGTTCCCGCGAAAAGAATGAAGTGAAAGTAGAGTTTCAGAATTGAGTCGCACTTAATTAAACGCAGAAAGAGGAAGAGAACATATTTACCTGGTTGAAGGTTGAAGGTTGAAGAGTGAAGATTAAGAATGCAAATCGCCTTTAACCAGCTCTTATGATTAGAATGCGATGAAGAGAGGGAGTGGTGTGCTTGTTTATTTTGAAACTAAGGGGGTGTTTGGAAGCTTTGCTATTCACCACTTGTCAGTGAGAAAATTATGGGTCATGCTAAAAAAGGTTTGTATTCTTAATGTCCAAACACGATTGCGACAATGAGGCGGAAACATCGATTAGACCTCCTATAATGGTGCCGAATGACAGTAATTGGAGACGCGTGGATAGTGATTACGGGTCCGTGAGAGCTTCTAGGTTACCACTATGGGGAATGGTAAAAACAAATTTATTTTAAAAATTATCGAATTAAGTAAGTTTCAAAAGATGAATAAATCGTGTTTGAAAATATCATTTCTTGCTCCTGACTTCCTTTTTTTAATACTAAAATCGTGCACTAAATATATTTTTTGTTTTGTTTGCCCTACATTAAATAAGATTTCTACTTTTTTAAATATTTTTTCTTTTACGAACTCTTGTATTTGTAAAAAGGGACGGTCCAGTCCAATTTAATTTGGCCTTATGAACCAAATAAAAGAAAATAATGAGAATTCAATTTATTCTTATCGTACAGATCAAGGATTAATTGGTTAAAAATTTAGTTTAATAAATTAAATTCATATTTTATTTATAAACTTTAAATTTTTTTATTTTTTTTTAGTTCAACTCTTACCTGGAATAAAAGAATTAGTAAATATGTTATGCACAAAATAGCAATGGATTAAGGTAATGAACTTAGAATCGAAAATTTGATTATCGAGTCAATTCCATAATTATAAGTTCATTCTATCTTGAACCCAACCGAAATGGAGTTATATTCATTCTGATTATGAGAAGGGATCATTCGAACATATCTAAATAAATATTATATTTACTTATATATCTCTGCATCTATTCTATTTAGAATTAAGAATACGTGTAATCGAACCTATTTTTCACGTATTTTTTATTATTTAGGACTATTTTAAATATATTAAAATCTCGATTGTTTATTCGATTTTCAATATTTAATATGGATAAGTATTTATTTGAAGAGAAAAAAAATGAATGAGACAAGGAAAATCAAATGGATATTTTTATAAATATTTTAAATCTGAAATAAATTATTAACCGTAAATTTTAATCCAATTCCAAAAAACGTTACCCTACACCTCTTGTAAAATAAAAACATAAATCCAGCAATAGTACTACTAGAAATTAACCACTGTCAGGCCATTGTTACATTGACATTTTCTAAAAAAACTTTTGAAGTTATTATGTAAATAGTTATCTTTATAAAATATATTTTCCATAAATATTTTAATTGTTGGAGTGAGAATTTTAAATAACGTTGTAAGAATATTTCAACAGTAAGTGGAGCAATTCATTAGTTATTTATCACCTGAAAAATACAAAATATAAATTTATTAAGTCAATGAATAACTTGAAATTTCTCCTATAAAATTTCCTTCAATTAATTAATACTTTATTTAAACATTTAACAAAGTATAGAAGATACTCTAAACACTTCACCCACATAATCCCACAAAACCTTATTTGAACCCCAATTTTATTCACCTATCCTAAAGCCAACTTGCAATACTAAAAACTAATGAGCTATTTTGGAACACTAATAAAAGTAGATATTTAATTCCTGATGGCTATCAAGGAGTAATATGACTCATCGGTAAAAGTCGAGTAATGTAAAAATACAGCTCTCTCCTGTGTATAGATATTAAATTATAATTTCCAAAAAGCCATGATCTCAGAATGTTAACCAAGTTTTCTTTGGAATTAAAAAGTCCTATAAACATTGTTCTTTCATTCTCAGAATATTTACTTTTTCGTTGAATGAATGGGAAAAAACGTATGAATGTAACATTGAGCTTAGACAACAACCTGTAGACAAATTTATGAGAAAAAGATTTTAAACTGATTTGCTAAAAATAACATGACCAAAGTGGACGCTAAATCAATCAGTAATTCACATCACATTCTACCATTTGGTAGTTAGTTTTTAGGGATAGCCGCATGTCCCTTCCCCACTTGTCAAATCAGTAGCTATGGAGTTATTATGCATTAACAATACAACCAAGTACAAAAATCAATTCATTTGAAATTTAAGATCTCCTGCTGCGTCTAAAACTAGTTTCAATATAAGTATGTACATGAAGGAAATTGGACCATTAGACGGAACAATCACAGTCCAATGTATGTAACCTACACATCTCAGCTCTGACCACTATAATTTGGACAGATTTCTGATTTTATTTGAATATCCAACAAGGCCCTTGAAAACTAATGATTCAAAGGTGACCAACATCGGAAATCAAGAGAAGAGAATGTGCCAACATTATTGCTACTGACCAGAGTTCCCCAATAGTCGTTCAACTGCTGCATGAACATTACCTGAAGTAGCAATAAGAGCTCTTATGTTCTCTTGTGTGTCAAAGAATCCCATCTCTTGAAGCTGTGAAAGTTGGGCGGCATACAATTGTTCCGGTGGCTCTGACAAGATAACAAAGTGAAATGCTGAGCAGTATAAAATTTAGGTAAATTGGATCCCTACATTTTGAACGTTTATAAAGCGGTACAATTTCAAAAGTTTCAAATTGGATCCCTACTGTTAATTTGGACTAAATAACAATCTCTGAGACTTCATAATTCAAAATATTTAATAGATTCCTCAGTTAAGCTTAATGTAGAAGTTTAAATTGCTCCCCAGTGGCAGGACTTAATTGGAAATTGGAACTTCTTTAAAATTAGGGGCCAAGTTTCGAACTTATAAAACATAGGGGTCTAATTAAAAATCCACAAAAAAATATAGAGAGCAACGTATTAATATAATCTAGCCCATGTTTGGGAACTGTTTCTGGCTGGGATTTTGTTTTTCTAAAAGCTCTCAGGAAGCCAAAAAATTTGAACCAAACACAATTTAGAAAAAAATAGATGGCAACAATACCATTTGATCTATTTGGAACAGCTAGGCTACCAGCTCCAAGTCCACCAAACATGCTTGATAACATCTCCAATCCCAAGTTGTTCGTAGGTCCTACCAATAAAAACATTCCATAGAAATTTCAATGAACTATTACAATTTATGTTTGTAATCAAATGCCAATCTAAAACAGCCACCACCTAACGTGGCTCCCTCCTTCCTTACAAGAGATACAATCGGCCCAATAGATTTTTAATGCATCTGGTCCTTCTAATGGTAGCTCATGACTAATTGTTATAGGATTTTATCAAAAAAGGCATGAATCTTGTTTAGGAAGGATTTTAGGCGGTTCCCTCTGCCACCAACACCTAGTTTTGTGATTAATGAACCACCTAAAATCTGAGCAAAGGCGGTCATCAAAGTACAACGGATGATCAGATTTTTATTTTATGCAAAACAGAAAAAAATAAAAAAGACCCTGATAACCTAATTATCATCTCAATTACATTCTTGGATGTCCAATTCATAAAACTATAATTCATAACTCAAGTATGATGGATCAACTTCAGAGATGATTCAGCAATTTTAATTGCCAATGCAATATCATAGCAGTAAATAGTCTAAATTAACAGAAACAGATAGAATAGAGGGAGGTCTTGCATACCAGTGCCTCTGCCGGTTTGACCAGATTCCCTGCTGAAGTTTAGCAGGTCAATAGAAAAATCAAACAAGCAAAAAATGATGGGAAAATAAACTCAACAAGGACATATATGGATGTTGTATTCTAACAAATTATGCAAGGCAAGACATAAATCACCACCAAACTAGTCTAACCAATGATATTAAGTCACACGGAAAAATCAAATTCAAGTCGCAGTGTTGAATGCAGATTTTGTTAGATTCTTGTAGTGCAATAACCATACAATTTAGTAAGAAGAATACCCAATTTCCAATCTCACAAAGCAACTTCACTTTTTAATAATTTTAAGCATGTAAAAATAGAAATAAATACCTTCGAACTTTTCAATTTCAAAAAACCTTTTAGAATTGGTACAGCAGTAAAGTGCACATTGGTGACCAGTTGGTCATGGACTCAAATATGGAAATAATGTCTTTGCATATGCATGGTGAAGTTGGGTAAATTGTTAGATATTCAAATTTCTCTTCCAACTATTTTATATGTTAAAAAATCTTGGTCTTCACGCGTAGTATTTCATCATAAGCATGACCAAGAAAAACTAAGTGATAAATGAATAGGAAGAAAATGCAAAAATGCTCATACAACCACAGGTTTATAAGATGTCAAATTAATGGTCAGCAGCAACGGTTGTCCTAGTTACTGGGGCTTAGCAAATAACTACATCTTTGAGCTAAAGGATAGAATTCAAAACATTCAAAGCTTATTTCTTATAACCGATGAGCACAACATCAGGGGAGTATGAAAAGGTCAGGATAGCAGCACTACTTACCGTGTCGATTGTTGCTGACCAAGCTGAGACAGAAGAGCTTGCTGGAAAGACAATAGCTGCTGTCATTGTGCAATAAGGTAAAGTTATGAGAATATTAACTGAAGGAAAGGAATTACAGAAAATAGGGGGCGATAAGGCCTGTATCATAATAGATCACAATTTATAGAATAAAATATTCTGCTGCAAGCCTGCAAATAAATAAATAAACCAATTTCCAAATGCTTAGGTCTTTTCATTCGACCATTTTGACCTATGCTGCCCTTAGTCCAATTATGTCTGGATGCTGATTATTTATTTCATACTAAGAACCACTAGAATTCATCAAAAAGGAACTATAAGGAAACATTTGTTGCAAGAGATATTCTTGAAACCAAAACAGCTATAGAACTTTAAATATGTGTACCTGCAATGTCTCAGGTGAAGAAAATAGGCGAAGGAACTCTGGATTTTGCATTACTTCTCTAAGAGAATTTAAATCAGGCATGCCCCGCTGCTCAGTATTAGCACCAAGAATCTAAAATGAAAATTAAATATCAGAAGGATAAGTTCAACACATCTACATAGAATGTTATACCTGTACTAGGTAAGGTTTGTAAATACCTGATTTAATGTCTGTGGATTGGAAAGCATACTCTGCATCATTTGTGAGATAGCTGGATTTTGCATTAACTGGTTCAATAAAGAAGCATCTGGCATAGCACTTCCACCCAACATGTTTTCAAGGTCTGGCAGACCAAGCCCTCCTAAGCCAGTAGGTCCTTGCTGCCTGGTATCCACACCAGTGGTGGATGACCTTCTGGTGTTATTTTGAGCACCTCCAGCTACAAATACAATGTTCACCCATCAGTATAAGTCATTTTAATCACGGGCTGTGAGACACATTTATGATAAGTGTATCATAAACAATACATATCCAATATGGCAATACAATTTTTTTTTTCCAAAATTATATAGGATATGATACATGTAAGACATCTAGATATATATAAAAATATATTAAGCATAATAAATATATAATTGCAAACCTGTAAATCCAAATTAAGAAAATAACTTTTAGACGTTACAAAACAAAAAATATAAATTGTGATCATAATATTACTTACTATTTTTTCAAAAATAAGGACAGTACTTACTATCAACCTCATTCCTTTCTTAGAAATCATTCATTAAGAAGATAATTTCCTTTTTGGTTCATCAAGAAAAAACACTTCCATATATCTACATTATTCATGCCTATATGTCCTATGTAGTAGTATTGGATTTTCATAAAATGATTTTTGAAGGTTTCTATACTTCACCACCGATATGTATTATTTAAGTGTCCAAGAGTACCAGTATTGGTAGATACATGAAGTAAGTGGTGCTTCATAGATCACAGGCAACAGAAAAATTGAAGTCAGTATCCTTAAAACAGACAAAATATATCAGCACAAGGAAAAATGCTTTTGAAACCAACTACTGAGGACATGCACTCAGACACAGGATGTCAAGAAGAAAAACTTAGTATCAGAACATATTACCAGTAGAAGACCAAGGATTTGGAAGTGGGTTAGTATTAGGTAAGGGAGAACCAGAAGTTGCTTCAGAACTAGTTGTTGGGGGATTAGTTGATTGGTCCCTAGCATGTCCACCATGAGTCCCTGAAATTGCTGCATTATTATTTCCTGTATTACCAGCCATTGTAGTGGCATTTAAAAATGGTTCTTGAATATTTTCATACATGCGCCTTAGCATGTTGAATCCCTCAGGAGAAGATTCAATATTGCTCATTGCTCTGTCTGTATTTCTCATCATTTCCCGCATGATCTCAGGGTTCCTTGTAGCTTCAAGGGTCTGACGGAGTGTACTGGGATCATTAAGTATGTGTGCTAACTCAGGGTTTCGATCCATGAGCTCTTGCATCTGTGGATTATTCATTATAAGATTCCGCACTATCTCAGGATTATTTATTAGATTCTGCATGGCAGGTGAATTCATTACTTCTCTCACTAAATTGGGATTTGAAAGAAATGGTTGCTGCATCTGTTCTAGATCAGGAAATCCCTCGCCAAATAAACCATTTACCCTAGTCCCATTGATACTTAGTCCAGGGAACAGTGAAGCTCCAAAGCCAAGCCCTCCTAAACCCCCACCTTCATTCACACCAGCACCTCTGGCATTATTTGTTGTGGTATTGGTATTGGTGCTACTAGTATCGGTACCACCAGTTGGATTAACAGGTGCAAAACCACGAACCAAATGGACAGTGTGATCTGCATCCAAACCTATAAGTATATATAGAAATTTGAGTTATGTTGTTCATTCATTTGAGAAATACATTCTTAAGAACCTTATAGTTCAATATGTAGGCTTTTTTTCAGAGCATAGCATACAACTATCTTTCTGCCCAATAACAAGCTATGCAAGAAAAACATTCTGAGGATTGTCAAAAAATTAATCTTACATTATTAATTTTCCAGAAGAGAAGTGATTAAAAAAAAAATTTACACTATAAAGAAAATTATGAGTATGATAGTGATAAAATATTATGTAAGAATCCTTCCATGAGTAACCTAAGAGCACTTGTTAAGTAATTATTAATAAATAAAAAGGGTTTTATCAAAATTCACAGTGACACTTTTCCATAAAGACATCACACTTTGATTCCTTAGCCCTTGCCCTAAGGGACCCATATTTGCATTTTCCTTGAGAGTATATATGCAACATCATTATCCTATTGTCATTTTACCTATACCTACTTTACAAATAAACTTCACAAACATAAAAATACCCCTTCAAATACAAATTCAAACATTAAGATTTCAAGCCTTCAAAGAAAAAACATTTAAACTAATAACACCAGTGTTATCAATAGTGGAATATGGACGAAGGCCAAAATTCTGCCATATAAACACCTGCCATAGCATGCCACAATAGTGGAATATGGACGAAGTCCACCTAGCAGCCATGGCACAAGCATTGGACAAAATTGAATAACAAGTATAAGTACTAGCAGAACGTAGGGTTATTAATGTTACAATTCAAAGTTCAGCTAAACAGATTGAATAATTAGCTTAACCTAGTTACATTATCAAACATTAGGGCATGTCAATTTCACTAAACATGTGTACTTCACTAGCCCTCTGTTCTCTTAAAACATTTGCTTTGTGTAATCCTTAAACAGACCCAACTAAATTAGACAATCGATCTCCTGCATTCTTCATCAACAATGAGATCATGCACAAATTCACAATGTGAGCAAAGTATCATAATGCCTAGATGCTGAACAAAATAACTCTACCAGAATAATATAGTACGAAAGAAGAATAAAACACATCAAAGGCTGGGTGGTTTATCCAAAAGTATCACCTAATATAGCTTTAGCACATTCCTTCATAACTTCTGAGTTTAAAAAAGGAACTAATCTCCTATATATTGTGGTATGGCGTAAAATACATGATTATTTAAATGTGTAATCCTAACTTAGGCAATTATTGGTTCAAGACTATTTTGGCTTCAAATCTACTTTAAATTTATAATACAAATGAAATCTCTAAATGTACAGTAGAGGTTGTTTGCCTATTTTCATTTCTTTAATTTAGAAAAGAGGACTCAAGGGTGAGAAACAGGGAGGTTTTAAGTTAGAAAGTGAGCAGAAAGGAAATAGAGAGAAAAACAAGGAGGTTTTATTTTAAATTCTAAATACTTTCCATCTGTATAATAAAATTACGTCGCCTACTTGCTTTTCCGACACTGTGTTTGACTCAACGACTCAACGCTTTTAAGCAAAAAGAACAACACCAACAACAAAGCTTTGTCCCAATAAGTGAACTACTCAGATCACATGATGCCGTTTAGCTTAGTTAAAGACCAAATCTTCAGATATGTTCTAACTATAAATCATTCCTAACAACTTCCTCCGGGGTCATTCATGGTCTCCCTCTCCCCCTTTTCATGAGACTAAAAATCATGCCATCTACTCTCCTCATTGGTACTGCCAGAGGCTAAATAAAACTTTTTAATGTTATCCTGTCCGTCCAAGCATCACTTTTTTTTGAATAAAAAGGGGATACAAAAAAATAGCAGGATATTACAAGACAGGGGGGAAGCACCCTCAATCTCCCTCGGGACGAGAACATAACACCCTGCACTTTCGACATCAAACACTTCCTCTTCCTTAGAAATAGGTTAAGAAACGTGAAACTATATGCCCTTTAAAATCCTAATCCATTGTAAAGCATATCAATTTCAACTTTGACCACTATATTTGACTAATCAGCCACGTAAATACAATCAGAATCGCATAAATACCTTCCTGAACTCAACAGAATCTATGACACCGACCCAAACACCACTCAATTCATAAAAATAAAATAAAATCATATGTATTAAAAAAAATAACACCAGCATATGGGTCATGGAAATACCGTAGCTTCGGAGGGTTTGATCGTCTTTCAAGATGCGACCCTTGTAAATGAGGCGTTGTTGTTCGGCGGGGATGTCGCAGTTGCGAGCGACGAGATCCTTGAATGAAGTAACGGTGGAATCGACGGAAGTCTGAACGGAAAACTTGGAGCCGTTAGAACAGCGAACATTGATGTTGACGTTGACCCCTACGGATTCCTCAACGGCACTGTCACCTCCCATGACGTCTTCGTGGGAGGCGAGTCACTCAGACACTCTGGCAGGGATTGAATCGAAGCGAAGGGGGAAAGCGAGCCCTAACCCTAAAACATGGAAGACTGGCGTGTACACATGTACAGTGAAGAGACTCTGCGAAAGCTACCAGGAACAGACAAAGATTAACGTAAGTGAAGAAATAATAATTATCGAAAAAATAGACTAACCAATAGAATATATTACTATAAAAAATAAACATTTCATTAATTTATTTTAAAATAATAAAATTTAAGATAGCTTAAAGTAAAACTAGTACCTTATAATAAAAATATTTTTGAATATTCCTATGTAAATAAATTACAATAATTATTTTTAATAATTATTGTTTAATTACATTTTTTTAAAATAAATTCTTAATATGTAAAATTTATTTTTTCATATTTATTTTAAATTAAATTTAAATATATTTTATCCCAATTTTAAAATATAATTTATTTATTTATTTAAAATAGGCAAACTTTATGATAATTTATAATTTTAATTAAAGATGTCAAATCAAATACGTCTATCTATTAACCAAATACAAATTGAGGGATGATTTTTTCACAATTCATATATGTAAAATACAAAATTTTAAAAATATTTGATAATATTATTATATTAATGACATATGAATGTTTGGATTCTCAACTAAACATTTTTCTTACAAATTTAGTGAGTGAAATGAAATATTTAACTTATTAATCTACCCTATATATCCCTTGTTAGTCTAAATATATAAGATAACCAGATTTGTTATCTTGATTTTTAATGAATATAAGTGTCAATTTGTAATAATAACATGCATTGTTAATATTTTTTACTTTCATGTTAACCATAGATCAAGTAGGAATAAGAGATAATATATTTAGCATCCATTAGAAGCATATAGTATATTTACCTACACTCTTCTCCTTATTAAAATTATTGGTTGAACAATAAATAATGATGCAAATATTGAATATATTTTAAATAATAAACAACTCCTTTTATGTATTATTTTTTTAGAATATATTTTCACTAATTCTTAATATTTTTAAGACACTCTTAATTAATTCCTTAAAATATATCTTTAAGATTTTGAGTGTCATTTTTACTACAACAAAATTTTAGTGCATTTTCAATTTATATGTATTTAATAACTTTTATACCAAACTATAATAGTTATTATAAAATATAAAATTCCTTTTTTCTAAGCTTTTTTCCTTTTAAATTTTATGTGAAAGATGTCATCGAACGGTTCACATATTAGGAAATGCCGAATAACTGGAGCAAAAATCTTCCGCGAATCCAATTCTGATGGACACCTTACTTTACTTTTCCTCAGTTCTGTTCTGATGAAATAACATAAATTACCACAAACAAATTCTTCTACCAATGGGTGCCTCATCGAAGCATAAGAAACAAAGCTTTCAACATTTTTCAAGTATTCTGTATAGATAGATAGATTACAAAGATCCTTTCTTTCCATTGTTTTATGTTTATAGAGAGTTATTAATCATTTCTGAAAGTAAATTTTGGTAGACTTTAACAACCAGGTCATCCTCATCTTCTTGTTTTTGCTCTTGTTTCTGCCAAATGGCATCCTCATCTTCTTGTCATGTTGGTGAAATAAAACATGATGTGTTCATCAGCTTCAGAGGGACAGACGTGCGCAAAGGTCTTCTCAGCCATTTGATAAGAGAATTACGGCGCAAGCAGATTGATGCGTATGTGGATGAGAGACTTGATAAAGGAGGTGAAATATCATCCTCGCTTCTCACAGCAATTGAAGGGTCACAAATTTTATTGGTCATTTTCTCCAAAGACTTTGCTTCCTCACAGTGGTGCTTGGAAGAGCTTGCCAAAATGGTTGAATGCATGGAAACAAATAAACAGATTGTTCTACCTGTTTTCTTCAACGTAGATCCATCACATGTGCGCCACCAATATGGAGATTATGGAGATGCTTTAGCTAAACATGAAGAAAAGTTCAAGGGAAACCTGCTCAAGGTACAAAGTTGGAGATCAGCTTTGAAAAAAGCTGGTCTTTTATCCGGATTTCATTATCCAACCAATTTTGAGTAAGTTAATTTTCTTTTTCTTTCTTTTTTCTTTTTATGTTCTGCATACACTTATATTGTATATTTTCACTATTTACTTGTATACGAAAACATGTTTTTGTATAACAAAATTATACAAAAGATTATACAATACCAATTTACAATAAATAGTGTTAGAAAAAAAAATATGTATGATTTTCTAGAGGGTAGTTTGAATTTTGAAAAATTTTAGCCACTGTTTTCTATATTATTTTCTTTCAAACACCGAAACAATTCCAGACTAGATTCTCGGAGCTAGAGAAGGGTTAGTGATATGTCAATAGGACGATGGTCTATTGAACTATATACAATTCATGTTAAGATCATGTTTCTTTGCTTTGTCAAATTTTACACGTTATTTTCCTTATATAATTTCTTTACTTTCTTCTATATGCTAGGAATGAATCTGATCTTGTCGATGAAATTGTGGAAGACATTTCAGTAAAATTGAGCAAGTATTACCCAAGTGAATCAAATGGTCTTGTTGGAATTGATCAAAACATTGCACAGATTCAGTACTTATTGCGAATAGAATCAAATGAGGTTCTTTTTGTCGGAATTTGGGGCATGGGTGGCATAGGTAAAACCACCATTGCCCGTGCTATATTTGATAAATCTTCTCTTCAATATGATGGTTGTTGCTTCTTCAACGTAAGAGAAGAATTGGAACATCATGGATTCAGTCATTTACGAGAGAGATTCATATATGAACTATTTGAGGGAGAATGTCTACATACAAGCGGCACAAGCAAAGCAAGATTCTTCAATTCCGCTCTTAGAAAGATGGGTCGGAAAAAAGTTCTGGTGGTGCTTGATGATGTGAATACTTCTGAAGAATTAAAATATCTGGTTTCCGAACCAATTTGCTTTGGTGCAGGGAGTAGAGTGATAATAACAAGCAGAGATCAGAACGTACTGACAAGTGGAGGACTTCATCAAATTCATGAGGTCAAGGAAATGGACCCTCGGGATTCTCTCAAACTCTTCTGTTTGAATGCCTTCAATGAAAGCCAACCCAAAATGGGATATGAAAAACTAACTGAAGAGGTGGCTAAAATCGCCCAGGGCAATCCATTAGCCTTAAAAGTTTTAGGTGCAGATTTCCATTCCAGAAGTACTATAAACACATGGGAGTGTGCATTAAACAAATTCAAGAAGTATCCCAATGAGAAAATTCAAAGTGTGTTAAGATTCAGTTATGATGGGTTACATGCTGTAGAAAAAAAGGCCTTTCTAGATATTGCATTCTTTTTCGAAGAAGACAGCAAAGACTATGTTATAAAGCAACTAGATGCTTGGGGATTTTATGGAGCTAGTGGACTGGAGGTTCTCCAACGAAAAGCTCTTATAACAATTTCAAATGACAACAGAATACAAATGCACGACCTGATTCGACAAATGGGTTGCGAAGTAGTTCGTCAAGAATCTATCATATATCCAGGAAGACGCTCCCGATTGCGGGATAAAGAGGAAGTATGCAATGTGTTGAGATATAAGCTGGTGAGAGACGATAAACTATATTACCTCACAAGTGTTTTTGTGTTCAAATCTGAATCAGTATAAAATTATTGCTTAATGTTATACTGAATTTTTCAGGGAAGCGATAAGGTGGAGGCCCTGCAAATAGATGTGTTTGGAATTAAAGATTTACCTCTGAAATTAGGCATTTTTAGAAAGATGCCTTGGCTAAGATTTCTCAAATTTCATTTCCCATTGCATGCTGATATTTTCCTGCCGCCAAGCCAAGATGGAAATTTATGGTATGGACAAAATGAATTCCCGTTGCTTTTATCTGCAGGGTGCAAAGAACTGATGAAAGTTGCAAGTGAGATTCACATAAAATGTGTTGACTACCTTTATATTGATGGTTGCTCAGATCCTTCACTCCTGAACAAATCTTCAGTAACATCGACGAACTTAGGACGTCATGGAGTGGAAACAATATCGTTGGTATTGATGTCACAGAACGAATCCATTGGTTCCCTCAGGAATCTTGAATGCTCAGATTTGCTTGATCAACAATTTAAGACTCTGGCCGATGAGCTACTTTGCTTGAGATCTACTTATTATCTTAAGCTTTGTAAGAAGAGCACGGGACAAGACAGCATAAAACCTAAGTTACACATTCTGTTTGACTGCTTAAGGTTTTATGAGAGAATATCTGTGAGCCAGTTGGATAATGCAGATGTTGGGGGTAATCGGGTGATGTTTCTTCATATGGCAGGTGTTAACTTTCTACTGCATCTCTTTCTTAAGAGACCGTGGTTTCTTTTCCTCTTTTCCTTTCCTTTCCAATTCTTTTGCATTTTTTTTTTATATCTTTTTTCTCATCTTACTTCCTTCTTCTACCCACCCCTTGCATTTTCCTTATCATGGGTAGAGGCTTTCTTTCTACTCCTTTTCTTTCATATTTTGGGTAAAGTATGTTCTTACTTTCTCTAAGTTTTTTTTTTTTTTTTGGTTCTGAAATATCAGTGTTGACTTACCCACTAAGATATGGCAGCATGGATGGATAGCCTCTGGTTGCACTTCTCACTTTAATGGAAATTTTAGTTTCCAACCAAAGAATTGACTTCATCAATGATGATTTTATATATAAAAAAATTGCAAAGTTAGACGGATCAATGGTTGTTATTTTGAGATTTATTGAATTAAATTTTACTGAATATGAAAAAAAAATTACATACAAAAATATTATAATATTTTAAGTTATTATAAAAGAAAAATGATAATAATAATAATAATGATAGAAAAATCTTTTAATAAAAACAAATTAATTTATAAATTATAAAGAAATTTTATTTATATTTTTATTAAAGTATTATAATAATCAAGTAGAATAATCATGTATTATTATTATTATTATTATTATTATTATTATTATATAATATATATATATAATAAAAAATATTTTTTTATGTAAAAAATTTAATGGATTTGGAATCTAAATAGTTACAAATGAAATTGATCATATGAAAAAATTTCATTATTATAACTGAAGTGACATTATCTTGAGACTTCTTCAAAAAAGCTCATAATTTCAGTGTTTTTCTTTAGGATCTTCTTTTTAAGGTTGTGTTAGAAGTGCTTTGGACTTTGTTAAATCTCTTAACACTTTCAAAAAACTGCTAGAGGACCAACTTTTAAAACTTCTAGAAATCACTTTTTGTAACATAATAAAATTTTAACAATGTTGGAAAGTATTTTTCGGGAACACTTTTGAAAAATATTATGTAAAATGAGTTTAATTTTAATTCTCTAAAAAAAATACTATCCATAAAAAATGTTTTTGGGCAAAAAAATATCTTAATAGAATTTAAATATTTCAAATAACAATTATGTTTAAAAAATTAAGTGAGAAGATTGTGAACAATGATACTGACATTGAGATTAGATTTCATTTGTACTAACTATAGATATTTATTTTAATAATTGATAAATGATATGAATTTTTCAATATAAAAAATATGATTTTTCCGTTCAAACTAAAGGAACTATTGACATTTTCTTTTAAAATTAAAATTATTTTTATATTTTTAAGAAAAAAATCAATAATAATAAAGTATGAGATTATAATAAGAAACATTCTACTAAACATAATATATCATAAATAAGTTATAATTAAAATATTACTAATTATGATAAAAGTCCATTATGAAAAAAACTCACTAATGGTAAGTGTACGCAAGGAGATTAAGATATAAGATAAAATCTATCGTTTATTTTTTACAGTTTTATTTGTAATATAAAATATCACTTAATTTAGGAGAGAAATGTAAATATGAACAAGAAAAAAAATCCCAAAAAGTACCACATAATTAGCATAGGTACATACTAGGAGGATTTTTTGTTTTCCTTTTAAAAAATAGGTTTTCGTCTTATATGACACTATTATCCACAAATAGTTATGTCATTAGAATTTTTTTATGACAACATTAAAATGTCATTAATCACTCTTATAAAAAAATAATTTAATTAAATTAAGTTATAGAATTGTTTAATAAGTAAAATTTATATTCAGTTTTTTTTTTATAAGGAAGTAAAAATCATTAAATTTTATTTTCCCATATATAATATATATTATATTATAGTTTTGATATCTTTTAATATTTTTTAACAAATTTATTTTTAATATTTAAAGAACTCCTCATTTTAATTTTACATTTGTTTCTAAAGAGTTTATGGAAACTTGTGCCGGAACTCATTTGTTCGACTATTTGAAAAGTGTATCAAATGGTTAGTAAAATGAAAAATTAAGCATTATTTTTGAAGAGATTTATACTTATTTAAATAATATGTACGTTATTAGTTAAGATTGACAATTATAAGGAAAATAGTTTTGCCATTCAATTAAATTATCGTTATCGTTAGGGTTGGATTTCAAAAACTTGCTAAAGCTAACCTTATATTTTAATTTGATTTTATACTGATTCAGCGTTAGACAATATTTATCTCAGTTCCAAATCCTTAGAAAAATAACTCTAAATCATTAAAGTAATTAAACCCTTAATTCATTTCACAAATCTGCATTTTATATATATATATATATATATATATATATATATATATATATATATATATATATATATATATATATATATATAATAGATTAGGTTTAGCAAATTCCGGCAATTCACCTAAAAAAATGACAAGGTCAACCCATTTTGGTTCCTGCCTAGCTCACCAACCTAGCAAGCCAAGGACAAGACAAGATACATTATGTTAGATTTAATTTAATTTAATTAATTTTATCATGTGAAATATAATGATGAGCCTAAATGTAAATTAATAAAATATAAGGATTTATTGATTATTATGGAAAATCATAATAAAATAAAGATAAAATAAAATAAAAATTTACGGTAACCAACTTAATAGACGTTGGTTAATAAAAGGGATACGGTTCTTCTCATAGTAAATCATAAAAAGAGTGTGGCAAGAGAAAAACAAAGAAATAGATTGGGAAAAAGATGTTGAAAAATAAAGACACTGAAGAACACATCCTCATTGAATATCTTTTATAGATCAAAGTTAGTATTCTTATTATGATCATGTTACTGTAGAGTAGTTCTCTGAAATGAATTAGAAACATAAGAAAACTACAAAATAATTTACATGTGGTATCAGAGTCATTGTTATTAGATTTATGATTCTCTTCTTATGATATGTTTTTCCCAAATTATGTTTTTCCCAAATAAGATAAACCCTAATTATGAATTTAAGGATTTTTCTATCAAATTAGCATGAACCCTAATTTATCCCCAAATTTGTTTACGAATCCTAATTATAAGTTTTAGGGATTTTACGTTTTCTTTTGCGTATGATAATTTTATGAATTGGTTATATGATTTTTCCGTTGTGTGTGGTCACTGCATTGGTTATGTCTTCAAATCCAATTTAATTGTCAAGAGGATGCATGGATGGAATGCACCGAAATGTTTTTCCTATCACATGAATGAATTTGTGAGTGAAATTAATGGAATGGTGCTATTTGATTCAATTGAGTGTTTTGTTTGCAACACTGCACATGTTTGGTTACTGGTATTGAAAACAAAGTATGTGATATCCCAATGAATCATTATATTAATTGAATTAGGTTATTCTAAATATTTTATGCATAATGGTGTTTGCGGAGAGTGAATGGTGTGATTTTAAAAGCAAGATGTTGTTTGCTTTATGATGAAATTATATGTTATAGATATTTTGTAATTGGAATTAAATGAATGGTTGCCACTAGGATGTGTCTGTGTATAAATGCTTTAATTGCAAATTTTGTTTTGTAAATTGAATTGAGTTTTTTCTATAATGCAAAGATTAGTAAAGAATGAAATCCTTCCGGATTTAGATTTTATTAATCTGAATATATGTGTGGATTGTATTAAAGGCAAACAAAAAAAACACATAAAAAAAGGAGCCACAAGAAGCACTCAACTTCTTGAAATCATATACACTAATATATGTGGTCCATTTGATGTAAATTCTTTTAATAAAGAAAAATATTTCATTATCTTCATTGACGATTTCTCGCGTTATGGATATGTTTATTCACTACATGAGAAATCTCAAGTAGTGAATGTCTTGGAAGATTATATAAATGAAGTGGAGAGACAATTAAACAGAAAGGTGAAAATTGTCAGGTCAAATAGAGGTGAAAAGCATTATGGAAGATATGATGAAAGTGGATAATACCCTAGTCCGTTTGCTAAGTTCCTTGAGAAAATGGTATTTGTGCTCAAAAAGGCGTAATAGATATGATTATGAGCATGTTAAGTAATTCATGTTTACTTGTATCATTGTGGATATATGCTTTGAAGACTATCATGTATTTGTTGAATAGGGTTCTTGGTAAAGTTGTTCAAAAGACTCATTTTGAGTTATGGACAAATATGAAACCTAGTTTGAGACACCTGCATATTTGGGGTTGTCAGACATAAGTAAAAATTTACAATCCACAAGAAAAGAAACTGGATGCAAGAACAATCAGTGGATATTTCATTGGTTATCCAGAAAAATCAAAAGGGTATGTGTTTTATTATTCTACCTATAGTACAAAAATTGTTGAAACTGGAAATGCTCAGTTCATTGAAAATGGTGAAACTAGTGGGAATGAAGCTTCACAAAATGTGGAGATTAAGGAAGTTATAATACAAGTTCCTATCACTAGTACATCTTTTTCAAGAGTTGTTGTTCCACATGTTGTAGAATCACACGACAATAAAAAAGAACAACAAATTAATGATCCCGAGATTAATAATGAGTTGATAATAGAACAACCACAAGAAATAGTATTAAAAAGATCTCACAGAGAAAGAAAGTCAGTTATAATGATTATATGGTTTATCTACAAGGGTAAAAAAATGACTTAAGTATTAATAATGAGCCAATTTCATTTTCAGAAATCATTAATAGTGATAATTCTGACAAATGGTTAGATGCTATGAAAGATGAGCTTAAATCAATGACACATAATGGTGTATAAGATCTTGTGAAATTGCTAGAAGGATGCAAGAGTATTGGGTGTAAATTGGTCTTTATCACTAAGCGTGACTCTTACGGCAATATCAAACGTTATAAAGTCTGACTTGTTGCTAAAGGTTTTTCTCAGAAAGATCACATTGATTATAAAGAAACATTTTCAAAAGAACGATTCTTTTAGAATTATCATGACATTAGTAACTTAATATGATCTTGAGTTACATCAAATACATGTTAAAACTGCCTTTCTGAATGAGGATTTAGGAGAAGATGTTTATATGGACCAACCGGTGGGGTTCATTGAAGAAGGAAGGTAACATATGATGTGTCAACTTAATAAATCAATATATGGATTTAAACAAGCTTTTCGGCAATAGTATCTTAAATTCAATGATACTATTCTGTCCTTTGGATTTAAGGAAAACACTATTGATCGATGTATATATCTAAATATCAGTGAGAGCAAGTTTATATTTCTGATTATGTATGTTGATGATATCTTTTTTGTGATTTATGATCTTGGTCTATTAAGTGAGACTAA